AGACCTATTTGTAGTCTCGCGGGTTGTAGGCCTGAGGGTGGTTTGGTAGCGGAGATGGGGCAGATTTAGTTGGCTCTTTGGTCTTCCAGAAAACTGGTAAGAATTTGATCTTTTCGGTCTTAAGAAAGATTGAATTAATGCTGAACGTCGGAAGAAATTAATTGTTTCAATGGTCAATTATGAATGTTCCGATTGTAGTCCAGTCAAATTACGGTTTTGGCTAGACGTTGTCATTTCAGTCAACGAAACCAAGTGTATTCTATGTAAAAAAATCTACTGAATCCGAAAAACGTAGCCCCCCCCCCCTAGCCGGAACCTCCCGGAACATATTGTTATAAACAAAAAAAAAGAAAAATGGCAAAATGTCGATTTTTTCTCATTTCACTTCAATTATCTCGTTAACTATTGCTCTGAGGAAAAAATGAATAGAAATGAATTTGTTTAGAATTGAATTGTCCATAGGATACATGGATACATGGAATTCATTTTCAAAAGTTATTGTTTTTTATGAAAAAATATAAAAAAGTAATTCCGAAAATTAATAATCTATTAGTACTAAGTAAAATTAATTCAATCTTTTTGAAAATTCGTATTTAGATACTTCTTTTGATAACAAAACTATATGACACACCGGATCACCATAACTTTCATTGTCATTGATTAATTAAATAAACAAATTTAAAGAAACGACGCTTTGTTTTTCAAACTGGACGACTCCCAGCGCGTTCTCATTTTTTTTTACAGATGGTGGACCCTGATGATTCCTGCAAATCGACGAACTGTGGAATTTTTTTAATTAACTAACAATTGGAATAACTCCCGAAATATAACAAGAAAGGTGCACTCTGATTAATAAAAATCATATATTTTGGTCAAATAGAAGCATAAAAAAAGTTCATCGTCTCATGCGATCCGATTTGCAAAATTATTTTTGGTTATCTTGAAAACAAGACCAAAGACAAAAGTTGATTTCTCGTGAACTATTCATTGGATTTGGACGTATTTTTTTCAAATGTAGGTCTTTCCGAGAGCTTTTCATTCGCCTATTATAGATTTACATTTGTTGTTGTATTTTCGAAATTATTACATTTGTTAACTAAGAAAATTCTTCAGATTTTGAAAGAAAAAATTCCACAGTCCGTAGATTTGCAAGAATCATCGACACAATTGTTGAAAAAGGAGTTCACTAACTGTAAAAAAAATTGAGAACGCTCTGAGAGTGGCCCAATGTGAAAGACAAAGCACCATTTTTTAGATTTGCTTATTTAATTAATGAATGACTATGATACCTACGGTGATCGGGTTTGTCTTATTGTTTTGTTATTAAAAGAAGTGAACAAATACGGATTTTCAAAACGATCGGATGAATTTTACTTAGTAAAAACAGATTGTTAATTTTCGGGATTCCTTTTTTTGTATTTTTCCGTAAAACACAATAACATTTGAAAATGAACGTTCAATTCCAACTGTATCTTATAGAAAATTTGATTCTAAACAAATTCATTTCTCTTCATTTTTCCCTTAAAGCAATTGAAGTCAAATGCGAAAAAAACGAAATTTCCCATTTTTTAATCGTTTTTTTTCTTATTTATTTAGGGTAGAAATCTAATCTTACACATTCACTAGATCCAACTAACGTTCCTGAAAATCGGTGTCAGGAAACCTACCACCACTGACCAGGTTATGTCCTTTGATTCCTTCCATCTCCTTACGCGCAAGTAATCCTCCTTCAGATTACCTTTCCACAGGCTTGTAAACTTGTAAACGTCCACCTCAACCCTACCAATGATTCCATCATCAATTTTGATAACCAACCTTTAGCACGCACCAAATAAGTATATTTGCGTGTATGTATTAATTTTGTCCCCTTAATATGCGAATATACATCCCTCTGTACTTATGTAGCAAGTATAAAATGAAGTAAGTAATTAATAAATAGTTCGGAACGTTGCATATTCATATAGAAAGTTCGCAGTAATTTACGTATTCATTATGGCGAAACACGACTACAAAACTTTTCTGAAAAGGTATTGCATTCGCGATGCTAAAGTTCTTGAAAAATCTCAAAAAGAGTGGCGCAGCCCTAGTTGTGCCAAAGGTGAAAATTTTCTGAAAAGATAATCAGTAATACTAAAAAGTAGTAAGGTTGTTGATAATTCACTAAATTACTTCCTTTAAAAATCAATAGAAAAGACACCACCAAATACGAAATAACTTCTAATGCGATTATAGTTGACTTAATATAATTTTAGAGCTCAATCTTTTAAAGATAAGTACAAAACTTCATTATAAAAAGCATTAGTCTCTTTGAGTGGACATCTTACACTATATACAGAAATTAATTCTACCTCTCTAGAAGAGATCCTACACAAGAAAATTTGTTTGTATTTCTCAGCTTCAAAAGCAAAAATCTAGGCTTTTAAGAAATATCTAATCTAAATCTAAGTATTTTATAATGTTATGACTATAACTTATAAGAAGCTATAGACTTATGAGACTGAGACTACTTCTGATGAGGTTTTTCTTAATCTTTATATAATAGAAAACGGTATAACTTGTGCAGATAAGGCGCATTTTTTTTACCGAAATAGCTTTTGTTTTGACATCACCAATGAATATATTTCTTGCAGACGTCTCAATCGCCCTTTGTGAGTACCCTCTTCCGACAATCCGTTCTTGATGTATAAGGGAATATACCCGATCACGATAAGAGGTTGAGGAGGAGGGCTATGGTTGGTAGAAATTAATTCTTTTCGTTGAGACCTTTCATTAGAGTAGCATGAAGGATAAAACTAGTTCCCCCCCCCCCCCCCCTCTCCCCCTCCTCACCGTACTAGGATAAGAGAAAGAAGGGCAGTAGTTGGTAGAAAACGGTTCCTTTCTTTGAGACCTTTAATTAGAATACAGTGAGAGATAAAATTAATTTAAAAGCGCCCTTTGCCAATCGCATCCTAAATTCGGGCCATTACATTTCAAAAAACCGCTTAAGGATCCCCCATTTTGACTTAGTTCTTACGAAATGAAAGCCGGTCACAAACAATTTAAATTTTCAGCAGGAACCAGGCATTTACTATCCCGTTAATTTTCATTACCACTTTGAAAAAACAATAGCACGAGTAAGCTTATTAGTCTCCCTTTCCTTTCACCTTGTACGTTGGTGTTTGAATTTCCCACCACCGGCACCGTTTCGACTTTCCCCAATAAAGTTTTACCTTGCGCACCTTTCACTTTCCGTATCAATTCATTGTTGTTTGTCAGACTGTAAGTACTCTGTTTACTAAATAATAGTTTGTTAACTTAATTTAATAACTTACCGTGCACCTTTTCGAATTTTTCCCGTATTTTCCAATTTATGAGATATATCCATACTTGATTTAAATTACCTCTCAAATTTTATCTTAATGTAGTGTGTCATCGAGTGTGTCATAGAAAATCGTTCGCAAGTTTTAACGAATTATTTTGGCAAAACATTATAGCAACTAACACACGATCAAATATATCAAACGAGCTCCTGGGTATGGCTATAGCTTGGCATTGGTATTATTATATGCTCATTTTGAATTTCATGCAATTCGGTTCATAACCAACGGAGATGGCAAAAGAGTCTTCCTTATTTTTTGGCTTACATTTCCAATTCACGAACTCTGATCTACAAATTTGAGAATGACACCTGTAAAATTTCATCGAAATTGGAAATATCGTGCTAACGGACAGACGAACAGACATCGCAAAATTATGAACCCGTTACGAACTCGTTAATTAACGGATATGGAAGAGGTTTAAAGTCATTTCAATTCAATCCAACCCTATTTGGAGCATTGGACTTGACCAACGAGCAAAACTCGAAAGGTACTGGCTTCGCATTACTATCAAAATTCCTACGTGCACATTGTAACCGGTTTATCAAGCGTTATGCGAAAGGATCGAAAAATAAGCAGGCACGAAGTAGAGAATTGGACTGCTCAATTTCATTCAAGATCAGAACGAAGGAACGGAGGACTACGGATAGGAGGCAGACCACACAATTCCTAGTTACCTTTACCACACAACACATCCAATTATTCTGGGCCCCAGGTGTATCGACTGTTGATAGTGGATGGACACCAGAAGACACATACATTAGCGTGTGCTAATTAAAATTAAACGTAATTACCCGCAATTTGACTATGTCTCCTATCCGACATTATATTGTTCAGTTATAGTAAAACAAGTCTTTGCCAATTGGAATATTGGCCTTGCAGTATGCAGCTGTAATGTGGCTGATAAAAATTTGAATGACTCACTTCACTAACTACTAACTAAGAGATAGTAAAAATTTTTTTCAAAATCCCCATGTTAGCATCAGAGTGTGAAGTGGCATCGTCTGAAAAATTTGACAACATTTTAATTTGGTAGCACAAATTACCACAAAATGAGCACAAATGTTTAGTCGACACTAAAATTTCACGAAATTATGTCAATTGGGATACGAATATGAATATACATTAAATATAAAACGGACGAAGGTTTGTTATGTACAACCACGGATAAAATTAATAGACCTTGATTTCGTGACCAGATATTTTTTATTATATCATTTAATCTAGGCGGCATCTCCACTTTTTCGATACTGGCATTAACGTCAACTACCTACTGTTGTGCATTGATTACCTTTTCCGCAGTTAAGTGTGAGTTTTCCGTGACCGTTATTAAAAGAACGGAGTACAACTGTTTTTTGCTCTATGACAAAAACAATGAAATACAGGATAATTTCCCTTCGTCTCATTAACGTTAGTATTCAGCTCTTGTAGCATGAATTATTATTGTAATGTACACTTACAATAAATACTTTTAATGAGATAGTTTTATTGGACGAATAATGCTCTGTAGACAAGTTTTTATCTCATTAATTTTTTTTTAAAGTTGAAAATTTAATTGCTTTATTGATCGAGTTTTCGCAAAACATACTTCCGGTATGGCGGCATTTTCCTTATTTTAAATTAAGTAAACAACGTAATCACCTTGCACAATGAGCCGAACCAGTGCATCAGGTTTTGGTCTACTATTCACCAAGCATATGTAATTTCCACTATCTTCGGCCATCGCAGGATGGAAACTTAGGCCAAAACTATCTTGTAGCAGGGATATCCGATGTTGATTGGTCCATACAGTGGTGCTATCTCCCATATATTCTACGAGCTTTAAATGATGCGTAAGGTATAACCATTCGAGTTCTTGTACCAAAGAATGTTCGCTTACACCTGGACATGCGACCGATTTATTTTCTCCCGCTTTGATAATCACCATTTCAACGGAGAGGTTCGCCAAATCTGAAATTCAAAAATTTGCGTTACAAATGAGAATTTGGTATTGGATAGCTTCCTATTTCATAAAAGATTTCGCGCGAGAAACAAGCAACAGATAAAATAAATGTAGGTCAACATTTCAACAATGAATTATTTCCACGCAAAGATTGCTTTTTATCACATGGCATATAAAAGCAATAAAATACTTATGTTGGACAAAGAGGATTATTTCAATAGAGCTAATGGTATGCTGGATAAGGGTTCATGCTCTGTTTCAGTCCAAAGACTCTCTTCCAGAATGATTACACAAACTGAGACGGTTTTGTGGGAGAGTGCGGTGTCATTAACAACAACTTGATTACGACTGACTGTATCTATTCCTTTAGATTGTTCAAAATTAACCAAAATAGCTGAATGAGAATTTTTCAGATTCATTGTTTGCTAGAATGTAGGGGGATTCGCGACTGAAATATTTATAATACAGTTTAGAGATACCTATTCTACTTTTTTTCTGCATTTCAAGGATCATATCTGCAGGCTCTATTTTGACAGTTTAATTCTAGAATTTTCTAGAAACAAGATGGCACAAGAATTTAGTTCTGATAAAGCACCCTTGTAGATATTTAATAATAACTTTAATATACAATGGTTATAGAAAACTTATTTTGACATTTGTTTATAGGAGGAGCAGTCTAGGTGGGTCCCCGAGACGAGCTTCTTACAGTGATTTTCTCGGTATGCCGCTTACGTTTCTATGGTTTTCGGAGCCGAGGATTCGGTAAATAATTTAATTTTAACTTTCACATTTAATTTGGCTCAATGTTTATTCACTTTATAAGGAAGTCTCTAGCCTCTGAACCGTTGCCATTGAAACAAATAAAGAAGCGAATTGCTACACATTGCCCAATTTTCTTTTGATATGGTTGACTTTTCTCGCCACAATTGCTGGTAATGTACCAAAACATAAAAAATACTTAATGTTCTAAGTATAAAAATTATAACCCCCACACTGATTCTAAATCCACCAAAGCAACGAAAATATTTGAGGTATTAGAAAGGTTGCAACCCCCGTCTAGAAGATTGTTAGGAGTGTAAGAGGTTTTTCTAAAAAAAGTACACATTATTTTTAAGATGTTCTTGGTGCTTAATGGTAAATCATTTAAACGGAATCCACCGAGTAACGGAAATATTTGATGTACGACCAGAATTACAACCTCCATACTGGAAAACTGTTAAAAATATAAGAGCAACCTGTTTTAAAAATTGCTAAATTTCAAAATAGGAACGCCTCCTACTACATCCAATTTTTTTCTAAACTATTTCAAAATTAGGTGCTAGTTGAGTGCTAATTAGGTAACAAAAATTTACTGCTTTGGCCGTTGGACACAAAAACATTTTTATATTTGGGCGAGGCTAACTTACCATTAAGCTACACCCCCCAATAGAGAAAAGTATCTTAGAAAAGTAATTAATATGCATATGCATACTTTCTACTTTCTTCGGAGAGATTGCTTAAAGAGAGTAGGTAGTGTATGTTATTAAAGGTTGCTCAGTGGGTGATTGATTTTGACTTACATTCCTACTTGATCTGATTATTTATTTTACTTGTAACTATAGCATCTAATTATCACTTGTTAAAAATTGTATTGCAGTAATTAGTTCTAAGATATTTTAAGGCACTAAATTTGTATTACTCGCACTTAATTAGCCCCCAGTTCTGAAGGAATTTAGGAGTGATGGCACATCATTTAAACACAATCTACTAAAGTAAAAATATTATCGATGTACTAAAACCCCTACATTTGAAAATTGTTAAAAATGGAAAAGCGAGTTTTGTAAAAATATTTGAGGTACTACAAAAGTTACAACCCCCATCTTCAAGATTGTTAAAAGTGTCGAGCCTTCTAAAAAATGACTTCATTTCAAAACGAAAAGGGATTTTATTTATAAGATGTTCCTGAGGAGTTGATAGTAGATCAATTTAAACAGACACATTCTACTTTTTTTCGACTTTTCTAAAAGACGAAGTAATTTTAAAAATGAGAAATGATTTTTTTTAAGATTCCCTTGCAGGGTTGGTGGAAGATCACGAGAAAGATCATTTAAACACAATCTGCTAAAGCCCCAAAAATATGTATGTCCACAAAAATTTCAACCACATGTGAATATGATTAACAATGGACATCCTGGGAGGGTTGATGGCACATAATTTAAATACAATCAACTAAAGTAACAAAAATACTATCGGTGTACTAACATTTGAAAATTGTTAAAAATGGAAAAGCGAGTTTTGTAAAAAAAACTCTTAGTCAAAATGGATAGGGATTTTCTCCGTAAGATGCCTTTGGAGGGATGATGGTAGATCATTTAAATACAATTCACCGAGGCAACAAAAAATATTTGAGGTACTACTAAAGTTACAACCCCCATATTGAAGATTGTTAAAAGTGTAAAGCGAGTCTTTTAAAAAATGACTTCATTGCAAAAAGGAAAAGGATTTTATTTTTGAGACGCTCCTGGGGGGTTGATAGTAGATCATTTAAACGGACATACTATCAGGGTTTTGAAGAGCGACTTTTCAAAAAAGAAGCCAATGAATTTTAAAAAAGGGAAACGCTTTTTTTAATATGCCCTTGCAGGGTTCACTGAAGATTTAAACACAATCTGCTAAAGCTCCAAACATATGCATGTACCACAAAGATTACAACCTCCACATTTGAATATTATTAACAATGTAAGAGCGAGTTAAAAAAAATTACGTAATTCCAAAATGGGAAGGAATTTTATTTTTAAGATGTCCACGGGGGGTTGAGGGTAGATCATTATTTTAAACACATACTACCACCGAAACAAAGATGTTAACGATCAAGTTGTATTGTTAAACGTTGGATTTATATCACTTACCATGTCGGTCGTTTAATTTAATGCGTTACTTTTAAAATAAATGGAAACTACACCCACATTAAACATCATACCTGAAAATGGAATAGCCAAAACTAAGGAACGCCGTGCGGTTTTTAAGGGAAATGTAACTCGATCATTCCTTCCAGTTAAAGAATATTTGGAATACGTCGACAATATACGGGATGTTAAACAAACTGAGGAACATGTATCGATTACAGAGAAACGCCTTCAATAATTGCATGACGCATTAGAAAGGTGCGATGAATGGCATTTTGGGGTAACCGCATTAGAACCTCTTGGGGACCATGACAAGGACAACGAATTCTTGTACGAGATAATTGAACTCATTGAAAAACGTCCCAGAAACTTCGTGGTATCCGAACCACCAAGATTATTAACCCTCCAGAACGCACCTGGTCACAGGGACCGCTGACTAAAATTTTCTTTAATATTGCGGTATTCCTGTATGTGGAGTTGCTGTACTTCACAGTAGCTTTCGATGGTATGACCCTCTTCCATTGCGCAAAAGTGCTAGTTGAACACGTACCATATTTTGTAACTCGAGCACCGGTCTGAGAGACCAATAGATTAAAGAAAATGACATACGACTTTATTACCAAAACTGTTTAGCAAAACATTAAACGGCATATAATTGAGAGCTTCTCAAATATTACAATGCGAAAAAATTGTAAACTGACTTTAATTTGAATATTTTATATTTATTGCCAATTCATTAAGACAAAACATTAAAAGTGAAAAAAATAAAAACAAATGAATATATTAATTTAAAAAAAAACCTTAATAGTAGTAGTGCAGTAAACGTAACGTTATTAAATGAACACAAAATGTTAACAGTAACGCATTGTACAAAGAAAAGAATAAATCAAGAAGTATCTACTACCATTGTTTAAAGTATTTAAACAATGCTACTACTTATTGTTGTCTAACGAGGGGGTAGTCATCGACATCAAGTTCTTGTTCTGGCTCTGAATCATCACTCTGGTTTCAAGTACATCGACTTCGTCCTTGGGCACTTCGTCGTCGTTCTCTGAGTCCTTAGGGACTTAGTAACGCCTTTGGAGGTTCAGGAGTTCCTTTTCATATTCATCCATTAAAAAAATAATAATCAGCAATTCACAACTGCCTTAGGCGAGGCCGTAGGTTACTTGAAAAAAATTAAAATATATAAGTAGTATGGCACTGCTATTGCTGATAAAGTGGCTATTTCTTCCCTTTTATTGAAAAAATCTGCACACAAAAAGAGCAACACTAACACACGCACCGTAATATTAACGATGACAAAATCAATACCACCTTCAACACCAACAGTCATGCCGACCTATCAAGATGTACTGAATGGCATGAACTTTGGGAAAACTATTCTATCATAAGTATCATAGCGTTAAAAAAAACAACATATCAGTGTCCAAACTGCATCTCTGTGGCATTATTGTTCACCTGAGTTTGTAAAACTTATCAGAAATAACTCAAAGCCTTTAAATCGTATAGAAACTATGCAAAACACGCTTTCATTCGATTATCTCGCCCTTTACCTCCTATCAGCTCAGATGATACTGCTCGTGTCCAAGACCATAGTACCAAACGCTGGATTAATTAAGAAAGATCTTTAATATATTTTTAAATGGAACCAAGAAGAAACCGGATTTTCCTTCGGCCACTGAAAGGACGTAAGGATCCAATTTAGAGGGGAAACGGAAAAACAACGTCATTTAAAGGTTGTCATTCATTGAATGTAAGCGACCAAGTTCTAAATAAACTATATTTGTATTGTTTAAACGTTAGATTTATACAACTTAGCAATATTCTAGTTGCATATGGCACGAGTAATTAATATCGATTTTAAAACATGATCAATCTGTGCTAATTACAACAAATATTGCATTTTAATTATTCGTGGATTGCTAACATAAAGTCCACTTTTTTGATATGAGGTACAACTTTATTGAAAAACAGCTGGGATATTCTAATTGTACATACAACGGGGGTTTTTATTATAATTAGGAAGGGTTGATGTTTTAAAATTGCCGTTTAACCAAAAAAGTTGTTTATAATATTCAAACTGATTTCACAAGCAGAATTTGACAATAACTCAAGACTAAACTAAAACTAAAAACATTTTTCCTTTTTTTTGCAATGTCAAACTTGGATGTGTTCCCACAAAATTAGCCTACAATGCATTAAAATTTGATTCGCTTGAAGAACTTTGTTTGTCACAAAAATAATAAATGAGCATCGGTTTATGGTAAACATTACAAATCTGAATATGTTTTTATTAAAAACCGAATGCAAACAATGTAAATAGGTAGTACATAATGATTATTAAAAAGCTTTTATTGAAACAGTTTGTCGGCTAATTGCATTCGGTTCTCACTCAAAGCTTTCCATGGTGATGACCCCCACGAGGACACACACACACACACACAACACCTTTCGATTTTCCATATTACTATATTCTCTTTTATTTCATGGTTGCTAATTTGTTGTAATCCTATGTAATTAGTGAAATGGAAGACGTCAAACGTATCCTCATTTAAAAGTGTAATGGTAATTGTCCATCTGACAAGTCTATGTTTGGTATCTTTATCTTGTCAAATCGACCGTTTAATTGTGAAGAATGATACGAGACTGTTTGAGGTATCTAGTTCGAGAGGACAACGCTCTATTGTCACGTAAAAAAAATGCAACAATAATGTAAGGGGTAGGTGTAACAAATTTGAATGAAACTGGAACGATTCTAATACAACTTCAGGTTTAGAACGTATAACGAAGTCATCTTGTGTCACGTAAACTGTCGACGGTAATCTCGATAAGTAACACGCGAAATGTGTTTGTAAATTATGGCCGCATTAAAAAATTTAGATTACCTTTCCTACACCACAACGTTAGAAATAAAAAAAAATGTTCCGGCTTTTCGCACGATAAAAAATGTATAATTGACCGACAATTAACTGCTAATACAGGAAAAAACAGAACAAGGGAATGCAATCAACAAACGTGTCATGCCTAGAATAGCTTTATTGGAAAGTGGCATGCTTCTATACATGAAGCTAAAGAAGCATTGACTGCAGGAGTGAGTTTATCAATCTGTTTTTAAATATTTTTAATAAACGTTGTCACTACAAAGATTTGTTGTGCTCTTCAACTTTATTCCAAATGAGGAATGGCACCTGATTCCCTAAGGTGATATAATTTACACCCTTATATTTTGATTTATTTAACATGTCATATACAAATAATGCTCCAGTGGAATTCGGGATGGATGGATTGCTTATTCCAAGACGCTGTAAGATTCTGAGTTTAGAAGCTTTTTTTTAATGTTACCCTCAGTAACTTCAAGGCTAATTGGTAGCGTGTAGATACTTCATAAATTGAAACATTTAGCTCTATACAAAATGTTACAAAGTAAGTGTGACACCAGAAGAAAGGTTAATTAAAACAATAGACCGCGCGCTTAAATATTAATTAAGATTGAAGTGTTATACCTTTAGCGCTTACAAACAGAAAAAGCTGCGATTCTTTCCACCCTAGGCTACTCTTAGCTAAATTGCATTATTTGTAGGACATTTAACTACGCCGATTAGTTTAATTGTGGAAGTCAACAGTAATGTATCCCTCGACCGTTTTAGTTATAGAGAGGGGTAGGTAACAAAGACAGAAGCGGACCGCTTCTATGTGCTTACCGAAGACACGCTTATTATAACATATAACCGCCGATATAACAAAGAATTGCCAGAAGATCCCCCACATATCGGTGGCCGCGTTGGATTAACACCGCGGAATCACACATTCCATATTTTGAAAAACGTACAAAGAGTTTCGTTCACATTTTATCACCGTAGTGATCACTAACTATGGTATAAAACGGGCCATCACAAGTTTCTTAGTTTTTGTAAGCATTTGAATGAGTGCAAGAAACACAGTCGTTGATGGTTAACGATTTTTCGAACCCTGCGTACGATCATCGCGAAAAAAGAGAAGAAACTAAATCACATATCCCTAGGCTCTTCCACCCCCAATCGTGCACGCTCTCTCCCACACCAACAAGCTTGCGCCCTAGAACCCTCCGTTTGGCGCACCCTCTAGTGCTGGCAACGGTCTGCGTTCGCTATCACGAAAGTGTCACGTTCGAGAACACCTTCAAAGTTCATGGACCTATACGTGGTCCCGTCGTAGTTTCCTTGATAGTCCAATAAATCAGAAATGCCCTTAAAGACACGTGGAGTAGACGATGGCGCGTTGTACAATTTTAGGTAATCATGTTATCAGAAACCCTTACGTACACCATTAACTAGGTACATCGATCCAGCAGAATTCTCTTCTTGTAAACCCGTCTGCTTTCTACAAATGCGAACGCGTTATCTCAAATTGCTATTACACCACGTAACCAATTTTGAAACACAAGCAAAGAAAGAATACTGACTAGTAATAACGCATGAATAACATACGCAGGTAGAGCGACAATAACAATAAATAATATGCGAACTACGCAGGGTTTTCTTTGGCTGCAAGCTATTTCCATACAAATCTTTTAAATGATAAAAACAAAGAAGGGGAAGCGAACTAAAAAGGGCTTCTTTTCATGCTGTGTAGCATATGAAACTCTCTTTTAAACAAACAGCAGGAATTTCCCATTATAACTTATAAGTAACGTTATTATTCTTGGTACTGCATAATAAATTATATTTCTTTTATTGAAAGTTTTCTAATTTTGTTAATTACTGACTGACTTTTCTGTAAAACGTCTGAATTCGCAACTCTCGTGATAAATGTCAATTGGGCCTTTCAGAAAACTGGAAAGTCTAATGCTGCAATAACTTTATGAAGATGCTCACCGAAAATTCAACTACAATGGCCAGCGAGGAAGTGGAATGTTCGATCGATTGTGGTTTCTTCGCTGGATGGCGACTCGAATTTTTTTGTACGTGAATACGAAGTGACTGACACTGCCAATTAGATGACGATGGTCCAGACACTGGGGGAGTGTGAGAAGTAGTCTTCCGAGTATCGCTAAATCTGCATTATTGTGCGTCAATTGGATTCGAAATTCTTGCAATGGAGCTTCGCATACGTAAAATTGTGGTTCTATTTTCATAGAAAATGGAAAGTGGCTTTCGATAAAAAAATATTTTTTGAGTGATTTTTCTAAAGCCAAGAATAATTTCCAGAAACAGTGAGCGGTAATTGATTGATTTTCCATGTTAGACGGTTTGTTAGTAATATTGATTATTTTAATTATACCTACTGTATGCGTTGCAGTAACTATTGTGAAAGAAAGTGAAATTTCAGTGTCTTCCAAAATGAAACAGAGGTGGAGTAGACTAAAGCCCAAGGCGGCAAGAAAACAGGGGCGGCAAATTTATCGCGATTGATGATAAAATCGCTTTGCTTCGGAAAGAATTGATTTATTCAGAGCCGTTTGTCCTCACTACACGGGAAATTTAAGGTATCCTGCCATCGTAGCGCAATGTAGTACCTAGACGTCGCGTCCAAAAATACAAATGATCCGTAAAATCGTAAAGGATCGACTTTTTCTGGAATCTATATGCCCCAATTAAAAATTGTATACGCTTAACAGCGAAAGGGTACATTTAGAGATCTTAGGAAAGAGACATTTTTAATTTTGGACTCATCATTTTGCTCTCACTGTGAATTATAAAAACTCATGGTACAATGGGCAAAAATTTTATTTGACGCACTTTTTGGTAAGACCATTGAATCATAAATTCTGTATTCAATGGTAAGACACTGAATCAACCAAGTATAGGTTTAGGTACATACTTACACATTACATAATCGTAAAAAGTAAAAGGAGAATATTGTGAAAGGAAATAATTAATACAAAACAAAATGAATTCTTCGTATTCCTCCTTGATTCTGAGTAAAGAAAAAATGATGACCGTTTATTCTTCTCAGCAAAGCGTTTCTGTTTTTCCTCTTCCATTTTCCGAGATTTCTGAGCCTCTTTTTTCTCTTGGGAGTGGAAGTGCTATAGCAGAATCCTCAAGGTTTTGCAGAATTTGGTACCTGTTGCAATATTATATCGTTTTCATTTGCGTCTTTATCCTCACTAGGTTCTGAGCTGGCAGTTAGAAACATTTGAGTTTTTTACACACTCGCCCTTCATTGGAATAGTATTCACTGCCCGAAGTTATTTCTTCACTGCATAGTTTTTTCAAAACAATTTTGAAAATGAAGCAAACTGAAGATATGCATATAAAAAGTAGACATTACCTCAAATATGTCAGTGGAAAATTAATAAAAGGCTTTGGTTTTATAATTTAATAATATATATATATATAATAATAATAATAATATATAATTTATTCCCCATAAAACAAAATCGCCTGTTTGGCCTGTTTTTAATCATCCAATATCAATACACATTCAGTTTCCAATGGAAACCATTTGGATAATCTGATTATCGAAAAATTAGCTCTCAATCGCTACGAAATATGTCCTTCTGTTTACAACCTGTTATTTAATGGACTTTTATCCACTTTTTTGTACTTAAGGATTTCTTGTACATTTTAACTTTAAGACGAAAAATGACCGATGCAAACGGTACCTCGAAAATTGATTACATGAAAACGGTTGTAGTTATGGCAACCGATTTTTACCAGTGCATAGAGAAAGAATAGGGCTTTCTTTTAGTGCACTTAAAAAAAGTTGCGTATGACCGCACTTATGGAGAGCTAAATTTCAAAGACTAAAAACTTAGCTTTTTTTTAAATGAAATGACCATTTTCTTACTATTGCCTTTGATACAGAATTAAAATTAGCATATTTTGATCTTATATGTTCCTATCATAGCTATCTTTAACAGTTTCCGACTTACTCCCACGTCTTCATTCATTCATTTTCTTCGGATTTTCTTTTTAGTAGTCGGTAGCAATAGGGCACAAATAATTATTTTTTTGTACAAATAAGTACAGACGAAGTCCCCATATTATTTAGTAACTTTCTTAGGTTTTTTTGTTCTCTATTTGACCATCTTCTGATAGGATTTTTTAAAATTTCTCTTTGAAAAATAGGAAAAACCGTTAGTACAATTCGTTAGGTTTGGCGGTTGTTGCGATTCCTTCTTAGTACATTTTTAGTACCGGTACATTTTTAGTACCTCTACAACATTCAGAACCTTCAGAATTGCTTACAACTTTCATAATCGTCTTACCTGACTCTGAGAATCCTATCAGGATCCCTATAGAATCGAATACGGTGACGTCGGCGGGGAAGTGATGACGTCAGTGTTCTGGGATACAAAGGGGCATTTTCCTAGTCGACTACCTTGAAAGGGGTAAAGTAATCGCGGAAAACGGCTTTGGATTTGCGAAGAAGAATTTTGTTTCACCACCTTGGTCTTATGTCCCAGACAATTATCGATTTGCGGTATTTTGACTCCATTGACACCATTGTTATTTAATTTCAAGCAGGGGATTTATCACACGATTTCTTACCATTACAACTAAAATTAATTTTGCCATTTCATGGAAAAAAAGGGTAGGAGTGAATTAATTTATAGCGTCATCCTTTGTAATATGTTTTGTTAGTGGTATGTTTTTTTATTAAATTAATACTACAAATTTTGCTCGTTCGGCTGAGGGCTTTAGATCTCTGCACCAAGGGCACATAGAAAATGGTATTTTTCATTGGATAAGTAGCTTCAGGACGTACAGTGGACGAAATGAAGAATTAATTAATAAATCCTATCGAGGAAGCATTTGGTACATAGGATCGACCTCTCATTTTTGTTTACTCGCAAGTGTACTTCCGCTTTGCACATTACTGAACTAGTCTTTGAAGTATTGAAAAATGTTGTGGATAGTGAAACGTGGCGAATTTTATAAACTTTCGAGATTTTAAAATGTAAACTTAAATGCTTTGGCTGTAATTAATCAAAAGTACCTACTGCCCCTTCTAAAGTTCAAATAATTTTAGGTGTATCCTGATTCCCGACGAGTAGTAGATAAAAGAAATTACTAAAATGAATTTATTTACTTAACGTTTCTTTCCATAAATACAATATTTATAAAACTTACACAAAACACAAACCTTAACTACGTATCTGACTTTATTCCTCTGAGTAATCAAATTCTTCATCTTCGTCCATGGGTTGCATCACCTCCAACATTTCATCTTCATTGAAACCCTGAAAATATATTATTGCATTACCGTGCATCGTAATTTATTAAAATATGGACGGTTACGTCACAATCATAGAAACGGGAGCTTAGTTATCTGAATTCTGTACATATCAACTTTCTGCAAGGGAAAATTCTAGCAAATTTCTGCTAGTAAATTTCAGGCATTTTTGATGACCACGTGTATTTTAACCAAAATGCATTGTTTAGTCTAAAAGTGCCTAAGTCAATCGATGACACACCACAAATTCTTTATTGATGACTCAGAATCACTTTGTCATATAAAGCTTAACTTTGGTACACAGGCAGGTTTAGGGAAGAAGAGATTTGATTTTGGGCTTCGGGAGTTAACCCTCTGGGGCAGGGTCAAGGTTTAAACATATGCTCGCGCTACTTCATACTATGAGAAAACGTTGACCAAGAGGTGAGAGATATTAGGATATTGGGATGTTATGTGACAGTGCAGGGGATGTTTGTTGTTATTATGCCCAGGATACCATACAAGAGACGAATCGTCAGTTCCTTTGACACGTATTGTGATCAGTACATCATGTACAGTTGGTAGACATGTGCGAAGGGATAATATAAATACCACGATAACAATAAAAACAATTTTTTTAACAAGAATATTATTGTTACGCTATTATTAACCTCCCAACATTTGTCTACTAACTCCACGTGAAGTCGGGATCACAATATTTCTGAGCAAATGACTTGAATGAAGCAGCAATACTGCTTTCCACATTTACGTTGTATAAAGTAAATTATTTCATTCTTTTTGATAAATTATATTACCAATTCAAATTTAACCTGCATTTTTATTGGTGGGCTTAAAATATATACAATCGATTCACTTACAATTCGGATAATACGCTTTACTAATACCGTTGGCCACTGCTGTTTTCTGATTTCGTGTAATATATGACCGGTTTTATAAAGTCGCAACGTAAATTTAATTAATCCTTTAGAGTGATTAATGTATTTGAATAATTGCTTACCGTTTAATTCAAATAATTGCATAAGGACTCTTTTGCCGTAAACCAGTACCAGCAAATAATTCCCAATATTTCCTTCGTCTTTCGATAATTTTACATACAGTGCGTCCCAAAGGTAACGCAAAGAATTCATATTTTTTTTCTTGTTGTGTTTTCAAAAACATGCAAACACACGTCGATTAATTTATAAACATTGGCATTTCGTGACATTATCTTAAACAAGGTTTAACATAGTATTAATATTAGGTATGTTCTCCTACTTGAATGCTACGAAGTTTCATAATTACAATAATTGTATTTGGAGTCAAAAGGTGTTAACAATTTCCAAAAGATTTAAAATTACGAAATTCAAGTATTCTAAGAAAATTAAGCTTGAAGGGCTGCTAGATTCTATGATTTAGGGGTTTCAAGGATCTAAAAAATTCAAATTTCAATTTCTGTAAAATTTCAGTTATTAAGGTTTTGGAAAATTTAAATTGTCCAATTCAAATTCAATGCCAGTTAAAGTTGCTGACGATATACCCGTAGTTAAATCTATTACCGTTAAGTTGTTCGATTTGGCGTTAAAATGCGGGGCCTATTTGCCTATAAGTAAATTGTGTCGAAAAGTAGGCCTCCTCTCTACATTCAACTGTTTGTAATTTTAATTCTGAAGGATTTGCGAAATATAAATCTATTGACGCAAAATTGTAACCCATAAGCTCCAAGTACATGTTTGCAAGATACACAGGGGGACATAAAATTTCAAATCACTAATTTACTGAAATAGAGCATAAGCAGTGAAAAGAGGAAGCGCCCCCTCAAAGTTTGCACCAGAAGACCGGGCATTTTAAACTTCTGCAGTAATTCGGCTTTGCCATGTCTCATAATTGCATGCAAACGTAACGCTTTTCCGGAAACCGTATCGTTAGACCTGCGTATATCTAGCGGACATGTTTAAAAGGGGAGAAAATCTACTGTAGTCGACAGACAGGACAGATGTGGGAAACGAAAACCAGGTACTGAACAGGTCACTCGAATATGTAACATTGAGCTGCAGTCAATTACTGCGGCTTTAAAAGTTTTATACTATGATGTATTTGTAATGGAGTGAATATATCGCTTATAAGAAACTGTCAAACGATATGATATATCGCTAAAGTGTTTTATAAAAGTTATACTCCTCAAGTGATGCCTTCCAAGATCATTATTGACTGGTTCATTTTTAATGACATAAACGTTCAAAATCTTAATATTATCACGAAAGGAATCAACGTGCGCCATTGAATACCTACTAAAGCGTTTAAAAATTTTAGGAAATTGCATACTCCATGAATATATAGGCACTTCACAGCAATGGTCTGGATCGCATGAGCACATCCGTATCATAAAATTACCTACTCCAAAGCGAAACGAGAATGTGTTTCCATCAAAAAAACATTTTGTAGGAAATTGCAAGAGCTACAAATTCGTATGAATTGCATTTCGGTTTAAAAAAGTTTGAACTGCAAATCCAACTATATATCATCTAATATTTGGCATAACGGAATAAAAATAATTAACATTTGTAGTAAAAAAGCCATATTTTTGTAACGAGCGATCCAAAATGAGTTGCTGTCGAGTCGCCTTTGAAAGTCCGAGTTAAGTGCTATAGTTCCCATGTAAACAAAAATTTCAAAGGTAACTCGACTCATTTTTGATCGCATAGTACTTTAGCATTTTTACCTACCACTATTAGTTTTTGAGTTATTTAAAAAACATTTTTTGAAAGTTGGGGTGGTTATAACGGGGGCGTTTTCGTTGCTTTTTACGTCATAACAAAATAGAAACCGACTCAATTTATTCAAGGGACTTTTACCAGGATGTTTCAAGTTATTTAAAGAAGGCTCCACATGAAACTGCTTTCCCGTTGTTTTCTTGTAAAATTCACTTTTTTATCTTTACCTGCTGTAATTTTTAACCACCGAGTTAAGGTAGTAAACACTTCCAGAGTAGAAGCGCTTAAGGCAGATTTTGATCTTTGAGATATTCTCAACTTTCTACAATCAAGCAAATCCATTCACACCCAAAAAATTTGAACAAGAAAACCGTTATATCCTCGACAATATCTCGATACTTCAGATACCAATTTAGTGCATTTTGGGTGATCGCCTGTATTTTGGTCAAAACATGCCATAATAAGATAAGACCAGAAGCGTTGAAACTCATTTCATTATTCAATGGCAGAAGCCAACACATAATGTAATAATAACTAATTTCCTAAGTTCAGTCAAAAATGAATTCATACTTGACAGCTCTTCCACTCAACCTAAAACAATTGATGCATTTTTTGCAACCGCGTGTATTTCGATTAAGAAAAACAAACAAAGTGTGCCAAAAACATACTGAGAATCCGTCGTAATTCCGTTGTTAGCGGTTTATTATTTTATTGAATACCAAAATTTGTTTCGTGAAAATAAGAAATAGTGTTTGATTATTAAGTGCTATGCATCTATTTTGTTACTGAAACAAAACTAAATACATACAAAATTTTAAAATAGTAATATACAACTTACGTTATTAATCGACGCAAAAACTGGATAGTGGCATGGAAAACATTCCATATAAGATAATCCTGTATTGGGTGCTGTGCATTCACATATTTGGCATTTCTTGGGCGTTGCGGAATGGGCTACTCTTTTAGCAAACACGGCGGCAAATCGTTTTATTGCATTCTTTTTATCTGCTTCCAACTTCTTTGCCGTAAATATAGACCCTAAAACCAATACATCAAATTAGGTATATACAATTGGTTTCATTAACAAAATGTCAGAGCCTAAATAACATTCCTTCGTAATTGATTATATGAATCCGAAGGTTGTGCTCTTCATCTACGAATACCTTTCGCAATATTTCAAGTGATATAAAATACGCTGTGTGAATATGAACAATTTTAAGAATTTTTTTGGAAATTTTCAAAGGAACAATTGCACTAAAATTTATCCATCAATTTTCGAAAAAAAGTCCTCTTTGTTCCGTAAATTGGCGAAGAGGTTCCCTAAAGTAAAAGCTTACAGCAATTTGTGTGCTCAATTAAAAACGTCCTGAAAATGTCCTTACGTTTATGAGTTTTGTTTTGTTTTGTTTTTATATTTTCCCATTAGAGATTGGCTGTATGACCAACGGCCGAAACCAAAAAAAAACTAAAAGCACAATCAATATGTCGCTCTCATTCGTACAAAAATCTGAACGCGCATTCCTGTTGAGGGCCCAGAACAAGAGAGGGATAATAAATTATTAAAAAAATTATTAAAATATGTGGGACAGTGGCCTCCAATTTTAGTATTCTCCCATTCGCGAACCGTAAAAAAATCTAGTTTCTCCACAATTAATAAATCACGATTTTCTATGTTGATCCCGAATAATTCGCGTTCGTTTGTTTGTGCTGGAGTGTTATCGAAATGTTGAAGTTGATTTTGGATACTTTGAAATTCTTTCCAACAGTTTTCAAAGTTTTGAGGCGATATTTAGCCTGAGTTTTACTACTCTCATTGTTAGTAGTTTGCATGAAATTTTTAAAGCGCGCAACGTTCCCTTTAATGTGACCGCGTTCCCTGACCGGAGTGGCTAATTCCATTTCACTACCAAACGCCATGTCCCTTAATATGCAAATGAAGTAGAAGATACTGTTCGGTTAAAATACCTTTGCACAGATTAAAGGATGTAGGTATCCTTTAATGACATAGGGATAGAACCAATAACGACTGTCTTTGTTGGATTTTGACAAAATGTCCAGTGAAGTCTGCATTATTTCGACGTAACTGCGCTGGAGTATTTGATATGGATGTTGAGTACACGTCGACACTACTTGACTTATCGTGAAATTAATCCGGCTCGAAGGACCAATGTTTCGGGAGAGAAGTAAAATGGCAAAGAGCTTAACATGTAATTCTTCTTGCTTAAAGGCGTATTCCCGTCATTCTGCAGTCAGTCGAGGAACTATGTCTCACTATTTCATTCTGTTGTCTTAGGTCTGAAGCCTCTTGATGTTGAACAGTGACACACACCCAATTAATTGAAATAAACACACGTAAACTTTTTATTCACTAGGCGCGTTAGATGTATGAAATCTCCGACTGTGACATTGTCAAAGCATTCTATTTCAAAAATATAGGAAGCAAATTAAATTCTGGGTATTAAAACACTTTAAACATACTACTATGAATTAATTAATAACAGAGCTACAGAATATTAAATATTCCCGGAAACATACCCTCGACAGAAAATGTGTCTGAAAGGATCAATAACATATGAAAATTAATTAAAACTACAAATAAGGATGTAATAACGCTCATCTGGTACAAAAAGTAATAATAAAAAAAATTGTTTCATCTCTCAGCTTCATGTTCACTAAAATTAATAACTGCAATAAATTGCAGATTTTTGTCCGGATTGAGAGCAGCATATTGATTGTGCTTTTAGATAGTTTTCGTAAGTTATTGTATCTTTTCCGTATTTTTTGCTGAGGATATTGGTGATTTACATTGAAACTTTAAGGCTTTATAACTCTCTTAGAAAGTGATTATTTTATGTATTAAAGTTGCACGTGCAAACATTTCCTTTTAAAATATATGTATATACTTGCTACTTTAAGGAAAATTGACAGATCATAGATCGACCGGGAAAGCACTTATAGGGTATAACGCTTTTGTATCCTGTTGAATGCGTACTGCCAATTTTACAGGAGAAGCCAAGTATACGCTTGAACCATCCCATTATCAAAAACCGAATGATTCAAAAGAGCACAAAATGCGTAATGGAGCGTCAAATTTAGACAATAAGAGCACTAATTTTGTTGGCAAAAAATACTACAAAAATGAGCACAGCATTATTGTATTCATAAATTCAATATTTGGAAATCAATGTTCTAACACCATTAATCTATTACCCTTACCAGAAAGGCAAATTCTGAATTGCTATTGAATCTACCCATTAGTAACAAATTCAAATCGTCAATAAGTAATAATATAATTGTGGAGGTGTAGAATTTGGGGTAATTGTTATTACTGTAAGCACAACCTACAGAAATGCATTTATTACCATTAATTTTACGTATTCCACCATTGTATGTATTATTTTCTGCCTAATTAAGCGTGGAATTAGGCTGTTAATTCTGTTAATTATTTGCAAATTCTCGCGACGTGCTCGATAATCTATACAATAGCACTTCCACTCCAAAGCCAATTACAATGTGTTCTCATCTGAATCGTGACTGAAGTTGAACTTTATACACTCTATACGCACCGTGTGAGGAAAAAGTTAGAAGTTATTCCTGATATATCATATCTCTTTGAAAAAACCAGTATAAACATTAAAACTTTAACTTACCGTTAGTATCCCTAGCAAAAGACATGCAAACCCCTAAGGTTGATTTAGGTTTTCGCACTTGTCCTAGTAAATCACTATCCCCCTTAAGCTCCCTTACATCGTTCTTCGTAAAAGCGCGAGTTCCATCCATGCCTATATAAAAAAGAAACATGTCCGTAAATAATGATCAATATCCGAATCATCAAAAATAAAAAGCAAATTGGATAAAATTTTCATTATCCAGCGGCGAAATTTGAATCTGGCTATCCCAGATTCAAATTTCGTTGCTGGATAATGAAAATTTTATACAAACTGAACTGATATCGAAAACGTTTCGAAAGGTTTTAATTTAGAATTGCTCATCCGTTAAATTGAGAGAATCGGCAATCGAAATTAACTTATTTTCCCTCGATTGTGTAGTTTCTCCAAGGAAAGAAACAACATGTACGAAACCTACCGAAAAAGATTTTATTTACTCGCGACTTTTGGAATCGAAATTCCTCGTTCATCAATATATGTAGCGTGATGTCGTTTTCTATCAGCAATTGGTGCAAAATAGCGTAGTCCAACTAAAAGAAGCGAGCAATTAACAACGACTTACTAAATTTCGTTTACGTTAACGTACCTTCATAGAAGATTCGAGACAATCCGAGCAAGGCAACAAAATAAATGTCTTGGAAACTCCTGGGCGAAATACTAACTTTGTCGCGAACACAATTCCAGCAAAAATGTCGTCACTTCCATTACCTACAGGCAATATGGAGAGATATACACAGATTTAAATTAACATACCGGTTGGAATGTTTTTAAAATATGGCTTGATAGAACGATAATCTGCAAAATGGTTTCCATCAATAGCAATGCTTCGGGGTAAATTAAAAACTCCATTTCCACCAAATGTTACAACAGAATACCTGTAACAGCAATGTCTGTAAACTTTGTGGATACCTACCTTGTTACCCACCTGTTATCTGTGATGTTCATTTCGAAAAGCTCTTTATGGATGAGATCGATCAGTATGTCCATATTACGTTTAGATTTCAAATCCTTGTTACACATCTTTGCCTCCACAATGAAAACGACGTCGGTTGATCTGGGAACTGCATCACCCTCAAAACGAATAAATTCTCCCTCCGGCACCGTCGTTCCATTTAGTAAATTGCATCTAGAATACATAACCATACATAATTTCCTTGCAAAAAGATCAAATCGCGCGACTTTTTACGGAGACAAAGTTTTTCTTGCTGTTATAAATAGGGCAGGCGTCAGAGATGCAAAAATTCCTAAGGGAACTTTTTTCGGCTGTTGCTTCTTTTTATTTTCAACAAGCGGAAATATAGAAAATGTTTCCGTAAATTCGACATATTGTTTTCACAATTTGTAAATATTCACAACGAAGATTTATTTACAATTCCGGGTTATACGGCAATTCGAAATTTTAAAATTAGGGGGGTATTTAAATAAGCGAAAGCCATCTTATTTTTCAAAAATTTCGTTTGAATTAACTTTTGTGGATGTAAACAGTACCACGAGATACGCGAATAAATGATATGAATTGCGGAACCAAATGCGACAATATTAACAATTGAGTCAACGTAAAGTGAAAACTTTTCCATTATCAATGAGCGCTCAAATAAGCAGCGCATTGTTATAAATTTGTCGCGTTTGTTATGAGTGAAGTTTCAAGATTGCGACGACAATCATGACTTTGGTGGATTTTCCTGGTTTCCATTGTTCGACATCGCTATGTTAGGGGTGTCTATTTCTGATTAAAAAGATCGGTACGATATTTTCATGGAATGGTTTTTGATCAGTTGAAATTTCAAGTATCTGGCCAGCAGCAAAATTTTTATTTTAGTTAGGATTAGGTTTTTTCTCTCATTTTAGAGATTTGTAGGAATATGTTTGAATTTAATGTCTACTCGCGTAATAAATATATTTTGTTTTTGTAACAATTTCGTGCCAGTTATTGCTTCTATACAAATGGAATAATAGACACCGCAATGTGAAAGTTTCGTAATTGCTTCAAAATATACTGCGATATGTAAGGTTCTGAATATAATATTAATGAGTTTATTTTTCCAAGTTTTTATTATGAAGTGCTCAGTTTTGGAGTAAACGTTGTGCCGTGAGGACGTGTGGTTAGTGGTGAGTGTTTCTGTAATCTAATCTCAACACCCAAAAAGCTCCTGAATAAACCCCATGAGCTAGCAACGCTCCATCCCAAATTGAAACAGGTAAAGCCACCACTGGAAATGGCTATTAGCTCCTTTCATCAGCAATCGATCAATTATCATTCGATCCTAAAAATAAACGCCAGCTATCAGAAACCGGAACAGAGGCGTCTCCGGAGATTATCGACCCAAAAACCAAAAAAATGGAAGAAAAGTGTAAAAAATCAACAAAAAAAACCAAAAATTTTACACAAACCAAGGAAAGGAAATAAGCAACAAAGAAATGGTAACACCCAATAGAAAAAAACACAATATGAAATTTAAAATTCTGCAGGTACATCTTTCGTAAAAATGAATCTGAAGACACTTCTTGTGAAATGGAGTAGCCTGGTCATTCTTTGAATGCTGAACGTCAATTACCTGAGGAATTCAGTGATGACGAGGAGGAGCTTGAAGAACAGGAACAATTTGAGAATGATGAAGATCCAGTTCTCCAAATGACGAAAAAGGTAGAATTAGAGTAAAACATATTATGAATCCTGAGTGAACTAATTAATTTCGAATAAAAAAATTATCAAAATCCTTGTGTGAGATCGAACGGACTTCAGTTAATTTTTGTGTGGCAGATCAATGTTCTATTGTCCACAATTCACGTTTGAAGTTTTCACTGCACCAACAGTTCACTGCACCATCAGTAAGAGCTTGTCGGAGACTACCACATTCTCTTTATCGGTATCCAGTTCTGACGCCCCTACAGTCATATAAATGCGCTCGTGAATTTCGCTAAAATCCCTCAACAAAATACTATTACATTTTTGGGGCTGGCGCTTCGAGGCTGCGAACAAAACCTTAAACCGCGTGACAAAATTCGCAGCCGAGGGTAACTTGTGGGCGCCCGAAGTCGACTACTCCTCCAAGGCACGCGCTTTGCAAAAGGTGATTTATTTCGCCCCTCGGAAAAAAAAAACATTCCGTAGCAAGAGTACGTATGCGTTTTTATAAGATTTTTGCCGGAAAAACCAATATTTTTTATATTGAAAAAATTTGTAGTTACTTGAATCATAAAAAAACTACATTTCAACCAAGTCTCGTTAAAAGAAAATAATTTTTGCGGAAATAAAACAAAAAACACGGTTTTCCACGAGTTTGTTGGTTATGTAAGAAAGTGGCTGAAAAGAAAGTTGTAGAGTTCTTCACGATCTACAACTTTGCCATTGAACACTTTTGCCTCTGATCTTCAACGGAAATTGCCTTCATACGATTTTCACCCCTATTCATATTCATCCTCCCTAAAAATTTAGTCCCACTCCCCTGCTCACGTATTAACTTTCAAAGAGTAAATTTTTTTTTCGTCTGTATGTATGTTGGCAATTTTCCGAGGTAACGGCTCGACGGATTCGGTTCAAATTTTGGATATGCCTATTAGGCATACGGAAACGGAAAATAACGGTCCGTGTTAAACTAACAATTTTGGAGCGCCGCAACGGCATCGAACTATTTTTTTCAAAATGCAAGCTACAACTTTTATTAGGGTATTCCAAATACCTTATTTTTCTGTGTACAACCTACAAAACTTATGCCAGGTTTTATTACAAAAAAACTGAGAAAAAAATTTTTTTTCGCCAAAACTAAATTAATTCCGATTAGGAATTACAATTATTAATTATGTATATGATGCCTTGTAACGTTAAAATTAAAAAAACATACACAAACATGAGCAAAAATTAAAAAAAAGTCTCTTTTTCAACGAAGCATTGTCACGAAGTTACTGTTTTAAGGGAAACAATTGCAGAACAATTTCGCGATTTGGGACTTTATGCACTTTTTAAAAGATCGTTAAACAGTTTTCGCACGCTTGATGGATCGCAAGATCGCAAAGGGAAAATGCGTTGAGTACTGTGTTAACAAAAAGATGCACAAAACACTAGAAGCAATCCAACACAAAGCAATTTTCAATTAAGTACCTACCAATAAAAAATTAACCGGAATCAATAAATAATCGTTTACCTTGAATTCTGTAAGAGGTCAACCAAGATTTTCCTGTGAGAATTTAATGTTTCAGGGACGCATCCCTATACGACAGTTGACTAATGGCCGTTTGCACCGACGAATTTAAGCCGAGCTTAGCTTAAGCGTAGCTTGAAATCCACGGCAACGATTATTGAGACAATGGTTGCCATAGATTTTAAGCTACGCTTAAGCTTAGCTCCACTTAAATTTGTCGGTACAAACGGCCATAAATCCTGAGAGAGGCAGCGACGCCAGGCATATTTCAAAGTATCAAGTAATAAAACGGCAGATACAGCAAATTAATATGAAATTATGGATTCTACAGGCCACATTCTATAAGGAAATTTTTTTTCCGGGTCGATCTGAGACAATTTTTTTTTCGGGCCTCAAAAAAAGGCAGTGTATAACCTTCCTTTTTTACCAAAAATCGACTCCACCAAAATTTCTCGGGAAAACACTTTTTCTTATTAATTTTGGTGCGTAGAATCCAAAACAATTCGTACTTTTTCGATCAGACTTCTCAAAAAAAAGTTATAGACTAGAAACCAATTTCGAAAGAAAATTCAAAGGGCTGTAACTTTTGAACTAGTAGCCCAATCTTGGAACTGTTTGAAAATATGGATTCTACAGGCCACATTCTATAAGGAAATTTTTTCCGGGTCGATCGGAGACAATTTTTTTTGCGGGCCTCAAAAAAAGGCAGTGTATAACCTTCCTTTTTTAACAAAAATCGACTCCACCAAAATTTCTCGGGAAAACACTTTTTCTTATTAATTTTGGTGCGTAGAATCCAAAACAATTCGTACTTTTTCGATCAGACTTCTCAATGTTGGCAGTGTATATTAGGCATAAAGGATCTAAGACTGTCAAAAAGTTTTTTTTGGTTAAATATTTGCTTTGAGCTAGGAAGCTGGTCTGTTGAGAATTTGGCAAGTGGTTTTAACGGTACAATATTTGTCGACTATAGTATTTTGATTGCACTTAAACGTTCTATAATTATAATACAAATCCAAAAGCTTAGAATTCTAAGTCCCACAAGCCAGCAGAGCCATTTTAGAAAAATGAAGGACGAAATACATCAGAATTATAGGCTGATTATATAGGCCCTTTTTGGACACTTGAACAAATTTTCAGGCGGCATCCTTTAAAGAAAAAAACTATGGCTCTGCAGGCTAAGAAAAGCTAGCTGACCACTTGTGAGATTTGTTCGAAGGCGAAAAATTCAGATCACAAAATTATAGGCTATTTATAGGCCTTTTTTAGACACTACAACAAATTTTCAGGCGGCATCCTTTAAACAAAAAAAACTATCATCCAGATCAGTTTGATTTTGCCCCTCTCGGAGATGTAGTGGATAAATAAAAATTATTTATTTATTGTCTATTTATTGTCCCTCTCTTGTTCTGGGCCCTCAACGGGCTTTCGCCCAATTAATATATTTATTTAAACTCTAACTTATACTTCAAAAATCCGATACAACTGAATACCAAACAATCCTCCAGATCTTCACACATACATCATTTTTACAATACACCCTAAAAGGGGTTGATTCTGTCCCACCTGATCAGCATAGCTTGTAACACAAATTTTTTGAAATGGCATTAGTTTTACTTTTATTTGAGGTGCCTGCATACAACATTTCATTTAAATACCTTAACAAATAAAAGAAAACCGACTGCGCATGCGCAAAACAAATTTTTTGATTTGGCATTAGTTTCACTTTTATTGGAGGTGCCTAGATACAGAATTTCATTTAAATATATTAACAAATAAAAAATTAGGATTGCGCAAATACAAAAGTTGTTATGCGCATGCGCAGTATTTGTTTGCATCTGCATAGTTGCCTGAAGTTTAAGAATATTTACTAACACAGAAAACCGGACATTCATATGTTCTTTGTAACAAGAGTTAGAAACCCTTTTTGGAGGTTTGCGCAGTTTTTGGTCTGTAACTATTTGGCCCGTTGGTCTACGTAGCCGAAAAACAATTGTGAACTTTGTTATATCCTGAAGAACATGTGTATATCAATTTTTAAAGCGATCGGACGTTTCTACACAAAGTTATCGTACACACTGACAGACAGACGGACAGACAAAACTATAAACGAATTATAAACGATCTCGAGGTTCGTTAATAATATAATGAGACGAATAATTTTAATGTTTTTTTGTACTTCTTTCCAATTCAGGAATATCGTTTCAACTTTTCTTCTTCTATAATACAAGAGAAGATGCATAGACAACTCAGACACTTTTAACATTACTTTTTTTAAAACCTGAAACACAACAACTTGCTATATATTTGATTTATTAGTAAAAGAAAATTCAAATTTCAAATACCTACTTGACAGATGTCTCCAAACAGGTGGAACAATCCCTAACATTAAAGTTACTAAAATCTGGTAACTTCCGCAATTTTTGGGCAAAAAACATGCGTTCTCTCTCTAACACACGGGCCCAATGGATTGCGGTACTTTCTATATTTAGTGACTATGCCTATAAATAGCCTATAATTTTGTGATCTGAATTTTTCGCCTTCGAAGCAAATCTCACAAGTGGTCAGCTAGCTTCGTCTTTAGCCAGCAGAGCCATAGTTTTTTTCTTTAAAGGATGCCGCCTGAAAATTTGTTCAAGTGTCCAAAAAGGGCCTATAATTCTGATGTATTTCGTCCTTCATTTTTCTAAAATGGCTCTGCTGGCTTGTGGGACCTTAGAATTCTTTTTGTTGAGTTGACTTACTGCCGGAATTATTGTTTCAAGTACCTCTTTAGCACACGTGTACCAATCAAATTACGGGGCCCATAAAAAAATGTATCTGATTTTAAACCGGTCACCGATGTTTCACACTATTTTAATATTGTCTATTGCACTTGCAATTAGACTAGCTATTTGTGTGTATTGTCTTTTAGTTGAAGACTTCATCATAATGATTTTTCACACCTATTTGCTGTCAGTTTCGTTCCAGGCGTTCCACTTTGCATTTTTGCATACAGCTATAACATCAAATAGTGCTGTGCTCACAAGGACCGCAAAGCAAAAAAAAGTTTCCCTACGAAGCTTCGATCGCTGACGCCTGGACTAAAAGTCGAACCGTTTAATATAAAACTTACTTAACGCACGCTTCCGGTATACGTAAAGGAGTATTTTCAACCGCACAGAGATTCATGTAAGCTATAGCGGATGTGCAGGTTTCTTTCTCGGAAGAACTGTCGAGGCACATACTGAGGAACGGTGCATTAGACACTCTAGGGAAGCATGCGACAAAAGGGGACACTTTACTACGGAAAAAGACATCGCAAAGGGCTTTTACTCCTTCGGGTGGATTATGTTTTTGCATGGATGGCTTTATGCGCGGTGAACAAGTTTTATCTAACGTCCAAGATCGCGCAAAACTATCGATGTCTTTACTTTCAACTTTTTTACCACTTGACGTAAATAAATCGTCTGAAGGTTCATTGTTCATTGTTCCCCAAAGACCGGCTGTCTTCCCGAAATACCATCCTACGGGAGACCGTAAAATCAATTATCGATTCGCCCTGCGTGACTTGTTTAACTTACCTGAAAGTTCCAATACACAAACGTCAAATTTCATATTACATTGTAAAACAAATCCCGACGCGCTATCCACAGTGACAATTCCATACTCTTGGTAAAGGAAAAGATCCTCGACCTGCATTGGCAAGCGTGAAACGGTCGAGTCGGCGATTTTGACAACCTAAATTGAATTTCTCATAAAAAATATCGTCGCATTTTATACTTACGTCTTCTCCTACGTTAATTTTAATTACGGTGTGATTTACAATTAGTGTCAATTCGTTATTGTTTTTACGTGTGGCATCGTAGGACATCGCAATTGTAAAGTTGCGATCGGTGAAATCCGCCGCTAATAAGTAAGTACAGCTACCTTGAAAATTGTAATATGTGCGATCAAATGTAACGTAATATTTCGATCCAGCAAGCATGGCTTGAGCTTTAAACGGTGGAAACCAATCGCTCGAGTCAGTGTACGGTTTGTAATCGTAATAAAAATTCCAGAAGTTAGTCTTGGATGTAGTAAAATAATTTTGCAGATCATTAATTGCCTTATATTCGGGTATTTCCTATAAAAGAGAGTTGGGTGAACTTTCGTCCTGTTGTGGAAACTGTAAATTGTGCTCAGCTGCTGATAAATCACCGTTCCTGGGTACGGATAAGAACCGTTAAGTGAGCGCCGTCGAAAATTGACAGTTTCCAGTAGTGCAGTCTCTAAGGAAACATAAGCTTTACCTGAAATTTTGGAGTTTCATTGAAAGCGTGCCACGATATTGGCAATTTTTGTTCAAGGTACACAAGTCCTTCACTGGGGTCGAAAATGAATTTCGTTTTTGCTGTACGCCGCCTGAAGCGTACGCAAGAAAAATAAATCTTGATGACAGATAGAGTAATACTTACCGGTTTTCGGTTTCTAACGCCGTTTGACTGAAATCCATTAATTTGCTGTAAACAACCCCTACATATCTTTCAATTTTTGTTTTTATACTGAAATAGTTCGCTAGCCATACGACATTTTCATAAATTTCGTCGCACTTCTCAATTATATAATCCATATAGGGCACTCTTCTCAACGCCATTATCTCGTGGCTAATTTCAGCGAAAATCTCACTAAATTCGTTACTGAATGGTAACACTTTCACGTATCTTTCGTTAACGAAAGTCCAAATAACTGATGTGTATTTATATATAGTGGATAGGGTATTATTTCCCGATATATCCTGATAGAATTTGTCCATATCGTGAGTCAGCTTAGCGAACTTTCCAAAGTAAGGAGACTCCACCATTTCATTTGGCCGAAGGTTTATAAACTCTAAATTAAAAATTAAAATTAAAAGTTTGTCGCTGAACATGCTAGATCAATTTCTCGTTGAACTCATCAAATATGAAAGGGACATGTCGGTCCCGTTTCCCTCACTTTTCGGAATAGTTTCATTAAAAACTGCACAAGGTTACTGTACTGTACAGTACAGATCATTTCACAGCCACGCAATTCGTTCATGTAGCGTTTTCATGGTTAAACAGATCTCGTAATTGGAATAGTCTACGAACCACCAAACCGTTTTCCACAAAACTATAACATCATCCCTTAAATATGTTTGAATATTTCAATCTACTCCAACAAGGCTACAATTTTAATATGTCGTAATTTACATGTTTTAGTGTAAACAAAATTGACAACATATTTTGAGGGTTGCAAGTATGTTCCAGACAATAGCAAAGTTGTCGTCGGGATAGTAAATCATAACCTACCCCCACAAGGCTCAAATTTTAAGGGGACCTTCTTTCAATTATTTAAAAAGTGTTCAGATTCTAGCGATTGCAGGTATCTGCCAGACGACTATAATATAATAGCCATGACGCTCGAAGGGGATGCGAGCGCTTTGTACAAGTTCTAATGTTAGAAAGAGAGAATTTCTACCCTGTCGTCCGCTGAAACATTAGTATATCCTCGTACTGAAGGGGCCGCTTTAATAGGTACTAAAACAGTATCGAAATCTAGTATCTACAAATAAACCATTTTCACATCATACCTATTTCAAGCAACTGCCTCAACTGTGGCCAGGAGCATCCAAAATAATGTAAGGATTGCCTGTAAGTGCTGTAATAAAAATGGGCATTTGACAAATATCGGCTAAAAATATGAGCTTAAAATCAGTTGGCAGTATTTTTGTTAATATTAACGCTTGTAGCTCACAAACCCTTATCCCAATAATGGTGGAAGTTAAAATTGGCAACAAAATTATAGGAGGTTTTGCCTCCCAGCCTGACACGGAAGCGCAAGCTTCAGTCGCGGGGGTAAATTTGCTCAAATGGATTCAACAACGACACCAATTTGACATCTACCCCTTAACAATGAACCAAACCACAGTTTCCAATCAAGAAGAGAAACTTAATTGGATTAACAGCCTTCCAGATAACCCTTCCCGCAGAACAATTTGTGGTTCAATGGTAGAGCGTTGGGCTATAAAGCCGGAGGTCGGGTGTTCAAACCTGGACTGAGATAAGAATTTTTCATCTGTGACAGAGATGGGAATTTCCTTAGCCCAGTTTCGAGCACAGCTCGGAATGTTCCCTTTGCTGTTCGAGATACAGTAAAAACTGAATTGGACAAATTGGTGAATTGTTAGTTCTAAAAAAATAACGGTTTGGTTCTGTTCTAGTCTTTTAGAAAGTAGACATTCAAAAAATTCATTATAACACCGTGATTTGATAATCAAATAGGTGTGAAAAAGAAGTAAAAAGTCATAAATATGAATGAACGTGACGTATCGTCAGTGTACCTAGCTAATTTACAGCGAAAAGGGGAATAAGCAAGGAAGAGAGACATATGTATTTAAACTTAATTTATTAATAAAAAACAGAAAAAATGCACAACTTATGCAAAAAATTATGTATAGAGTAGTGTTTTTTATTTTTAGTTTCTAAAATCTCGCTCTTCTCTTCATTATTTACATTTACAGTAGTGGCTAAATTACCGCCACCACCCCCCGTACTGCCTTCAATTTCGATATCTTATTACAAATTTATAATCTAATCTACTCATGACAACCATAGAATAATAATTTATCTATTTTCAGGACGTGTTTGCCGGCACGTCCTTTAACTTCCAATAACTTGTTATAAGAACCGTAAAAAAAACCGAAAAGAACCGAAAAAAAAAATATAATAAGTTGCCATTTCTGAAGAAATAACGGTTTCGGTTTGGTTTTCGGTCCTGAAAACAATATCGGTTTTTGGTTATTTTTGGGTTCGGGCCAGGTCTCTGCTCGGAAGTTGATTTTTCGGGCTATAAGATCAAGCCCGGATCAATCTTCAAACTCACAGAGATCCTATACATAGTTACTGGTAATTGGATACATTCCTTTCGAGGGGCAATAGAATAGAGGTTAGGAGTAGATTTAACCCTAATATGCATTATAAAAAACTCAATAGGTTTTGAGATATTCTAGTTTTTAGTTTTTCTTAAGAAAGATATAGTAAAATTTAATTTTCAAAAATTTTAGTTAACTTTTTGTAACTTTTTTGCTGGAATACTTGTCCAACACTATGGCATTTCGTTTGGAATAAAAAATATCCGGAAACATGTTGGATAGTTTGAAAATTTCAAAGAAAAACTTGGGAAAAATAATTTTTTTTAATCTCATGTGGAAATCTGGGAACGTTATCACGAAAAATTACCAATACAACAAATATTAAGGGATGATGCCGGCCAGAACGGTACTTTCTTAATTGACTGATAATAAAACCTCGCATTTAAAAATTTTTTTGCTTTGTGGGAAACGGGTTGGTCGGATGGTTCGCGACCGCTTCCACTAGAAGAACTACAATGAAACTTCTATCTGTAGCCATTGCTCACATTAGTGTCAGTGGAACATTTATAGTCCAGTCAACCTGTGTTTTTAGTGGGAAAAAAATAGTATAAAGCTAATTTTTCCCCATCGACTACTACCATTTAGACAAGTGTTTAGCCAAAAGTCCCCGCCTCTATCCCTCTTGCTTCCCCCCTGTGCCCCCCTAAACATGAAAAGTGTAGGGGTTTCGTAAATCGCGTTTCTCTCGGTTACTAAACAACATATCGGATTGCAATTTGTTTTATTCTCTTTGCTATAACATTGTCTACAAATAAGTTTCAGTCGACTTTCGTCGTAACTTTTACCGTTTGTTTGTAATTCGTATGAAAAAGTAAAAAGTGGTATATTTTTCGGCACGTAATTTTACTTTTTGTCGCAGAAATTTTCAAGCAGACATTTTATCAAAAAATGTTACCAACAAAAGTTGTAGCTCCCATTATTACCTTTAAAATGATATGAAATAGTACTTACTTTGTTGAAGAGCCTGCGAGATTCAGCCGGTGTAATGCAGAATGCGTACCCAGTAGGCCAGTAAATGAACGTGGAATACGGCGATACTGTGAATTTTCCGCGTCTCCACCGAATCGCATGAAAATTTGGATTTAGGTTCTACTTACCCTCCACTTCAAAGTAGAACTTGAGCCCAGGATTGCTTCTACTTGGGGGGTGAATGCCACCCCTTCTCGGGGAGGGGGGGGGGAGATACTTTCAAAATAAGTCCGAAAATTTATAAATTAAGTAATTCTAAGCAACTTTTGTTCTATAGAGTTGTTCCACTAAGTCAATAGTATTCGAGTTATTTGCGAGTGAAAAATGTTCATTTTTCAACCAAAAAAACCACGTTTTCAGACGTTTTTTCGCAAATTACTCTAAAAGTAAGTATTGTATCGAAAAAAGTATTCTTAGAAAAAATATAGCTTATAAAAAAACAAACAAAATGGTCTAACATGAATTCTGTAGACCCAGTAGAAGCAAAGTTGTAGCTCATGAAAAGTAGGTTCTCATTCGTCAAATTCCAAATCGAGTACTTCAACGTGAAATAACCAAAAAATGAAGCACTTTTCGGGGAAAAGTTATGAATACTTTTTTAAAGTGTTTGAAAAAACCTTTCTTTTTGTTTTCAAAAAAAGTTCCTAGCATCAAAGCTAAGTGAGTTACGCTCAAAATAAAGTTGGTCCTTTTTTTTTTGGGTAAACAAAATTGAAGAAATCACCCCCCTAATTAGCACCCCAATTGTAATTAAGCGTTACCGCTTTACAGTTTACTTTATTTATGTACTGTTTATATGATCTGTAAGTTTGATAAAAATAAATAAAATAAATAAAAAATAAGAAACTATATGGATGCACAAGGTCTGCATGTCTGAATGACAGTAGATATTCAATGTAACTTAAAGCTGTTGCAAAAATGTCATTAAAATCCAAATTTAACATGGCATCCCTCGCTCCAACATCTGGAGCCGCTGAACAACACGCTTATCGAGCATCTATCAAATTCAAAAATGGAATAATGGAGATAAGGAAATCAGCGCTACGGACTGGGGATGGATCATGCAGCAATGTAACTTTGGTTGAAGTCGATGAAAATGAAGAACTCGTCATGGAAGGTTAGGAATTCGGAAATGGTCAACACCAATTTATTTTTTAATGTGAATAATCTGAAAATATTTTTTACTTAAAATTAAGATACCGCAATTATTTTCTTCTAAAATAACATAAACAAAATATTACATGCATTTTATGCTATTTAAAATACGTTTTTTAGCTGTACCTATACAAGAACTTATTAATATTTGACACAAATTTAAAAAGGGTGGAATTTAGGTTTCACTGAGATTCGTTTGGTTTTGTTTAGAGAAAATGCAATAGTGTACTTTAAAGTTTAAAAAAAAACACTCACTATACAACAATATTAGCATTGCAACGCCGCGCCGCCGGGCCCACCTCGACGGAACCCGCCACGACTGGGTACGCATTCTGCATTACACCGGCTGAATCTCGCAGGCTCTTCAACAAAGTAAGTACTATTTCATATCATTTTAAAGGTAATAATGGGAGCTACAACTTTTGTAGGGAACATTTTTTGATAAAATGTCGGCGTGAAAATTTCTGCGACAAAAAGTAAAATTACGTGCCGAAAAATATACCACTTTTTACCTTTTCATACGAATTACAAACAAACGGTAAAAGTTACGACGAAAGTCAACTGAAACTTATTTGTAGACAATGTTATAGCAAAGAGAATAAAACAAATTGCAATCCGATATGTTGTTTAGTAATCGAGAGAGACGCGATTTACGAAACCCCTACACTTTCATGTTTAGGGGGGCACAGAGGGGGAAGCAAGAGGGGTAGGGGCGGGGACTTTTGGCTAAACACTTGTCTAAATGGTAGTAGTCGATGGGGAAAAAATTAGCTTTATACTATTTTTTTCCTTCAACTGGTGTTTTACGACACAGGTTGACTGGACTATTAAAATATTGTCACAGGCAAATGTATATTCCAAAAACAGTAAAAGTTTGTACTGTAAACGTGACAGCATCCTAAATTTTAACACAATTGCCAACGCAGGTACATCTTGTATCCAACAGACTTTCAGCGCTTGTGTAATTCGACACGCTCCAGAAATGAATTGTAATAAAATATGTTGCAATGTATATCTTGACACACCGAAGTAAAGAGCACTTCTAGAAATTTATTTCGTCGTTGCTCTAAGTCGGTTAAATGACAAAGATTACGAACACGTTGCAGAAAGGTGTATTCATAAATTGTATGAACTGTTTTCATACTTACCCAAAAAATCCCTAGACCCATTCCAGACAACTGTTTCCAAATAGTGGAGCAATTTTATAAAAGTGGGTTCAAGAGCCGCAAGCGTTTTGTACCAATTATTAATCAACATCGTATAGGTTTGTTTCCATAATTCTTCCATCCCACGAATGAAAGACACATGCAGTCCTTTCATGAAGCTATCGTAATGTTCAAGTAGCTTTGAAAGGGCGTCAGATACGTATTCTAAAGTGTTCCCTTGCGCTATTCCATTAATAAAGTAGAGCGTTTTTTTGTAATAAGTTTTTAGCTAAAAGAATACTAGTAACAATCTTACCAAGGATACGCGGTACATACCGTCTGTATAACCCACGATATGCGTTTCTGGAATTCTTCTTTAGAATCACCCATAACTTCCCAAAACTCATTAATGATTTGTGGAAGCCATTGTATCTGTGATTTCAGAGACAGTTCGTCGATAAGCTTTACGGCGAAGTCTACAATGTCTCTAATGTAAAACTCGTTAGACTCGTATGCCTCTTGGAGATACTCATTCAATTTTTTCATATCCTCTTCAACACCACTCAAATTACTACAAAAGGGATGTACACCGAAGACCTTGCCTTATGGTAGTAACTTACTCTAAGTCATCTAAAAGTTGCGCAAGTGAGGGTTTGGAGTCTTCATAGACATCTAAAATTGTATCGACAGTTTCTGCGTAAATATATTGTCTCCAGTAGTCAATATTTTCAGCTGCTTCATTGTACATGCCGACGGTCGTAGATCGGATGCTGTTCTAAAATAACTCATTCGTTAATTAAACTACACCAATATCCAAGAGGAGCGGTAACACTGTGTTTTGTGTAAGAAAACGAACGTTGAGGAATATCGGAATAAAAGTTACTTAAGACTAAAAAATAAAACGTACTAGGATTTCTTGTTGGAACCTTTGAAATAAATTAGTACAGAAATGAACTTCTTAAAGTTATCGAAAAGGTCTACACAGGCTCGTTCATAAAAAAACCGAAGGAAATACAATTCTGTTATATTATAAACGTTTCATAGACGTTACTTAAGGGATTATATGTGTAGATTAAGTGCCATTCAAACACAATAATTAGTTCCCGACCAACTCTAAATGGAAATGTGGTCCCTTTTCCCCAAAGCTCAATGCCATAGATCCATATGGGCTTTATTCTTGTTTTCGAGGGAGAGGCAGGACTTTCCGCCAAGCAACCAGTTCGCAGGTCTATTTCTTTTCTTCTTTTCAGTATACCGGGTGGTGACTTGAACAACGCACCATAGGATTTTCAATAGTAATTTTTTCATTTCTGATTATTGGCTTCCCTAATTATTTTAGAGATAAAACGTTTTTTGTAAAGAAAAAAATTTGCGAAATTCTTGACAGAAAAGCCTCCTAGCACATCTAGCTCTCTTCACCGTTTAATGTCTTCGCGCGCTTTTTCGTACTTTTCTTTGTGTTTTTTATTAATAATTCATTTATTATCTAAAGTCACTAAACACAAAGCTCCTTATTCAATTCAATCGGCACGTAAGAATAAGAATGACATTTTATATCCCTTAAGTAGAGGGTAAATCTGTGATATTAATTAATCATTATAAAAATTGCAGTATATATACATGTACACAGATATTTTAACATAGTTATTGATATTTTACTTGTACCTTATGTTCTTTGCATTAACACCAAAAAGAATGCAACGACCGAACTTCTACAATCGCTCATCCTAAATAATAAACGCGCACTAAGCTGCTAGATAGTTTTTTAACTTTGACATTTTTTCTCTGATTTTTATAATAAAACGTATCATAATGATTTCTTGTACACAAAAAGAAAGCCTTTCGAATAATTCAATAAAAATATTGCCTTGTTATTTGAAAAAAAAGTTGTATGGCGTCACGGCGCTAAAGACTAAAGAAAATAAAAAAAGTTTTTTGACAGTTTTACATCATTTATAATGTCTAATGTATATTCGCAAAATTTTAACGAGATCATAGTAACCGTCTTGGCGAAAAAATTTTTTTATGGTTTTAACTTTCACATCTTTTCTGTTTTTTTTTTGTAATAAAACCTGGCATAATATTTGTAGGTTGTACACAGAAAAATAGGGTTCTTCGAATAAAATTTTAGGTTGCTATTTGAAAAAAAAATAGTTCGATGCCGTTGCGGCGCTCCAAAATTTTTTTTCAAAAATCCGGCTCGTTATTTTTCATTTCAGTATGCCTAATATGCATATCCAAAATTTGAACCGCCGTTACCTCGGAAAATTGCCAACCTACGCACTTACGAACGAAGGCACATGTCCAAAAAATAGTGCAATAGCCACCTAGCTCAAGCTAGGAAGCTGAAAATTACGATTCTATGCATACTATTAATAGCTTTTAATTTTTTGAACTTTGAAACCAAGAAATTGGATCACCCAAATCTGGCGCTTTTAAGAAAATCAGTGATGCCATGGCTGTTTGAGATTAAAAAAAGCTGTTACCTATAGTAAGTACGTCCATAATAAACGTCAAACTAATGGCAAATGCAGGCGCTTTTGTTCCATGGCATTATAAACGCGACAGTTTTTAATTTTTAAATTTTTACTGCTCCTGAATTTATAAAATAGGAAACAATAGTATATACGGATTCTTAATTTTTTTCTCTACAAAAAACCTAAATAGACTTTATTTCTAAAATAATTAATAATCGAAAATTAAGAAATGACTATTGAAACCCCTTCTGAATTTCACTAAATATTACGATTCTAAAAGATAAAATTAGATATATGTATCAAATTTATTAACGTGTGTTAAGGGATGATATGCGTAGGTTAAGTTTCAATCAAATAATGGAGTTATTAGCCGAGCGCCCCTAAATTCAAATGTCGTTCCCTCATCGTTTTTGGAATTGTAATGCAAATACAAGATTATGCCTAAGAGAAAATAGAAGAACAAGATACTACATTTAAAAATGGCGAGCAAATAATGGACCGTTCTCATCATATAAGGCAATCATATTTTCGTGGGCCCCGTACCCTTCTTACTCATTTCTCAACACTCCATCCAACCACTACCAACATTACGAAAATATTGCAATTTGTATACCATATACGTTTATAAAGCTGAAACTGTTTAACGATTAACAATATTGTTGCGTGTGGCTAGGTAGACTAAAAAAAGCGTCCCCTTTTAAACATTGGCTTAACCCGGACCACTAAAAGGATTTGTTTAACAAGAAATATGAGGAAACAAACAATAGTTTTGTGGGTACTGACACCAATGAATGGAAAATTGCATCCCATTATACAGGATGTACCTTTATGATAGATAGCCTGATTCCGCATTATTTTCTGAGTAAAAATTTTCCTCTAGGTGACGCCTTCGGGAGGTACAAGCCATCCTAGTTCACATAAGAAACTGCTAATGACTGCAATTATATTGGAGTTTAAGGAGATGCAGAAGTATGTGCATTAATATCCAAAGTGAAAGTAAATGTCCAAGATTATTAATCCTCAGGTTGCATCTCTTTCAGAGCTGGGCAGTATTCGATTTTGTAAATACTTTTTAGTATTCAAATCCTTTAAAGTATTCAAATACTTTGTAATTAAATACTTTTATGGAAGCAGTATTTGTTTTTGTAACTCAAATACTTTCGCAAATACTTAGTATTCGAATACTTCGCAAAGTATTTGGATACGTCGTAAAGTATTCGAATACTTCGCATAGTATTTGAATACTTAACCTTCCTTTTTTACCAAAAATCGACTACTCCAAAATTTCTCGGGAAAACACTTTTTCTTATTAATTTTGGTGCGTAGAGTAGAAACCAATTTCGAAAGAAAATTCAAAGGGCTGTAACTTTTGATCTAATAGCCCAATTTTCAAACTGTTGGAATTTATGGACTCTCGATCGATCTCGATCTCAGACAATTTTTTTCCGGCCTCAAAAAAAGGCAGTACTTTTAAGTTATTCAAATATTTGAGAACAATTTAGAAATGTTTAGGGAAAGTTTCCATTGTCACAAAATCAAATATAAAAATCCGATACATCTGAATACCGAACTCGATAGTCTACGTAACTTAAAAACAATAGGGACCTTTCTTATATCCTTAAGACCATGTGTACCAATTTTCAAAGCGATCGCACGTTTCTAAACAAGTTATCATGCACACGGACAAACGGATGGTCAAAAATGGATCTGTTCCAAAATCGCTAGGATTAATTTCAGAAAGGCGTACGTATCTTGTGCACGACGTACGATCGCTTTGAAAACTGGTACACGTATTCTTAAGGATATAACTGGTATAAGAAAGGTCCTGGTAGGTACCTCCTATATAATAATAATAATACGCTTTTACTCCCCTTAAATTTGTATATAACAATAGAAATATAAAAAAAGCTAACCCCATACAAAGTATAACTTGATTTTTTAAGTAGTAGAATACTTTTGAAAGTATTCGAATACATTCTAAAGTATTTGAATACTTATTTTTTTAAGTATTTGAATACTTTTCAATGTATCTGTACCTAGTATTCGCTTGTGCTGGACGTAAAAGTATTTAGTATTCAAATACCTTTGATTTGTGTAAAGTATTTACTATTTAGTTTTCAAATACTTTTTGAAAGTATTCTGCCCAGCTCTGATCTCTTTGTACATTTTTAAAATGTGGCATCACTGCAATGTATTTTACGTAAAAAATGTGTATAGGAGGCCTTAATCTTACAATTTGCATCAGTCACAAACTGTCATGTTGCCAGATTTAAAAATGTAAAAGTGTTACTATATACCTGAAGGAGTCATCTAGAGGAAAATTTTGATTAGACTTTTTGACAAAAAATAATACGGAATCACTTGGTTAAGAAAGGATACGCCCTGTATAGAGTCTAATATCGAAAAAAATATCCCCAAAATTTTGAACAGAAAACATCCCAATTTTACAACTCGAGTATAAGCGAGATGTTCCATTCTATTAATTTTAATAACTCGAAAATCATAAGAGTACAAAGTTCGTATAGGATTTTTGGAATTTGGTCAATTTGATGTATTTGATTTGATATTTTACTTACCTGAATGTCGCGTTTCATTTCAGGTCTCCATTTGAAACTGGAAACGATCAATCGCGAATGATTTAAACGTAAGTAATAAGCAATATCGGAAATTGTCGAGTCCTCGTAGTTACGCCAAATGTCAAAAACTGCGTTTCGAGCATCGGGAATCGCCCCGTACATGTGGACGCTTTCGCTTCCATCTAAAAACACATGATATTTAAGCAAAGGGTCTAATAAATTAGTCGCTTGTACCCTCTGTCACATTAAGATCAAGTTTGATTAACTTTTCTTTAAAGTTAAGGTAAAACTCTCCAGTGGCGTTGATGTCTTTCCCATGTATTGCCGACAAGTTGGCCGTATAAAGTGGAAACTTCGGAATGTATTTTCCCCATAAATAGGATAAGTCCCTCAAACTTTTTTTCTGTAAATATTGCATCGTTATAACATTGAATTAGTAGCTGTACCCACCTTGAACTCTATTTCTTTGCTCGTAACGTCTATTTTGGCGAAAGCTTCTCTAGACTGCAGAGGTAGATAAGTTCGTTTATAATCGAGGAAATGTTCCGTGCTGTACCAGTTTCGTTTCCAGTAGATATCGCCGTGTGAGTTCAAATGTAATTTGGTGGCTGGGTGTTTACCGTTTATGATGTAAGTGTAATTACTTGCGACATTATTAGAATTGTCCGCCAGTAACACAGACAATTCCAATTTTCTGTTGATATCGACCGAGTAATCAGCGGTAAAACGTAAATCCAGCAGTTTATTATCGCCACTTTCGTATTCTCCCAGTAGCGAAATATTCTAAAACCTTGCCCATGTACTAAACGTTGCAATTCTAAAGCAATACCTTCTGTAAGCTGGGATGTTTAACTTGGAATTGGACTTGCTGCCGATTCAAGGGAGAGAGTGAATCCACTTTCCAATCAAAGGCAGCCTGTATGCATCGTTTTTGTTCATCCCATACTAACGAAAATTCTGATGCTAACTCGTTTTCTGTGATGTTGTACGTGGCAAATGACGTAAAACTTCTCCCAGGATACGAGAGCTTCACTTCCATAAGCTGAGAGCCCAAGTTTTCGTCCTGCAGATTTGAATTTTTAATTACGTTGTCGCGTCGACAATTACTTACCTCTGTTTTATTAAGAATATTTAAATCGTACAAAACCCAAACTGTAGGCGCTAATTCGATCTTTGTGTGTTGCTTGAATTGTTGATCCAGCACCTCGTAATCGCTCCATAGTTTTACAGTATGATTAGAATGGATCGCAGTTATCGTTATTTCTTTTCCTGAGAAAGTCGACTGTAACCCTACATCGAAAGTTACATTAAATCCTGTTCGATTATGTAGATCATACACTTCGAAATGCTTCGAGTCCTAAAAGTGAAAGAGAATAAGGAAGTATTGATTTCGCATAGAAGGGCTTTCTCTTTACTTTTATACTCAGTAAATTTAATGATGAAAGCGTCAATCTCAAAGTTGCTTAATTAAGGGTCTACTGTAAAGTACAGCAGGTATAATATCAGACTAGTTATGTATCGTTATACACAAAAGATTTTTTAAAATAGCTCGTCTTACGGTAATTTGTCACACTGTATCACAAATTTTAATCTTCAAAAATTATGATGAAGGAAGTGGCCTACCACCAACCCTGCTTGTCTTAATCAAGCAGTCTACTTCGGGATAGGGATATGAGGCGCTGGAAGGATCGTGACTAAAGTTGGATAGGAATTACCGTAAAACTTAACTAAAATGGAAACTTTGTTATAAGCTTAAGATATATGCCAAGTAACTGAATAAAGAAAATTAAATTTAATATTGTTAATAACTAAAATGTAAAATAAATCCGATCTTTTTTTTCTGGCCAAGATCTTAAAAAATCATAGCCAATGTAGCGGAGTCTCCTTAAACAGAAATCTGAAAGAAGGCAGGATCTAAATTTAAGTATGAATGTTACCTTGAGTGTAAAGACATATATCTGTTTTAGCATTGCAAGGAAATTATAATTGTTTCATTCTTTATAACCCAAGTTGATCTTTTATTTAACAGTAAGAAAACTAAAAGGGAATTAGCAATACAAAGTAATAATCGCGGATAGAAAAGCAATTTTGTTTCCGATACAAATAGAATAGGATCATAAATACTGCTATACGTATGTATATTCAGAATGAAGTGAGTCATTGTAATTAAAAGGAAAGCGGAGAGTAGTTAAATACGACTGCTCAGTAGCGAGATCGAACTGGCATAAAAGTATTTTGCCTCCAATCTTAAGCCTTCAACAATTCTCACAAAAGGTCGTTACCTTGTTAGCCCTGATGACAGGAGAAAGACTGAGAAACTCGAATTTTGTATGTATTTGTTGGATTCGTTGACACTTTCATTTTGTACATATAAAATGGAACAAGCTAATCTCCCCTTCAAAGTTTTCATATTGAAATGGAGATAACACGAGAGAATGTTACACATTATGTAATTGCATATATAAAGAACTAAAATTATTTGATCTCTTATACTTATCTAATTTCTTTTGTTCGCCGAAAAGTTTTAGCAATTTAGATGCTGATGCAGGTACAAATTGTTTCCACGAGATTTTAGACAAATTTCATTGTTTCACTTTGTTCTCATTAAGGATTATAATTTTAAAGCTTAACGGTACTTACGTTTACAAAAATTTTACTTTAATTTTCAAGACTGTACGATAATGGTGATCTGAACAAAAAATTACTTATTCAGTTTTGAATTGAATTTTAAGTCATATTTTATTTTAATTTCGTTTCACATCACATTCACATCTTTTTGCATAAGTAAAAAATCCAAATGAAAATATATCTATATTGCTCCTCTAGAACAACAATTGGATACAATGAACGCAGAAAACTAGCAGGAAAAACCACCATTATGATACAAGTAGTTTGGCCCGTAACTGGCCCGCAGCCGTACATATTTTCCCTTCAGAATTCAAAATAGCGCTCATGTTATCGAAAATTTAACCGAACTGTAGGTAAGCTTTTCAAAGCTCGCTTTTTAGTAAAAATAGAACTATCCTATCGATTCCCTGCAAATATTAATATTATGTTATTGTAACAGAGATACAACATTTATTTCCAATTTAATTACAATTACCAGTGTACCTAATCGATATTATCCGGTCGCACAAATATAGTGTCGCTGTAATATTTAATAAACGTGTAAACAAATATAGAAAACGAGCTCCTGGGTATGGCTATAGCATGTGCAAAACTAAATTTTGAACGTGGTGGTAGTTTTGCTTTTATTTAAAGTGTTATGTATGAAATATCATTTAATTGCTTCCATAAATAAGAAAGTTTTATTTTTTGGCCTACATTGGCAATTCACGAACTCCGATCAACACATTTGAAAAAAGAATCCACTTGCAAAATTTCATCGTAATCGGTCCATTCGTTTATGAGATATCGTGCTAACGGACGAACGGACAAACAGACGGACAGACAGCGCAAAATTATAAACTCGCTAGGAGCTCGTTAATAAAAGGATTTTCTGCAATTATTAATTGATCGAAAATTAAACTTTTTTCTATATTTTCCGTATATCATTGTCTATACAAAGTTAAATGCATACGCGAATGTTTAACGTCCAATATTTTGAAAACTGAAACAATCAAATTTAAAAAAATTATCGTCCCGAATGAAAACGGCAGACTTTTAAGCGATATGTTACTTCTCTCTAAATCTTTAGATTGGTTTTATAGATGTAGTCACAGTGCTAATGCATAAATAAATTAGTGAGTTCATAACCAAAAATAGTCACGAATTTGTCATTTTTTGGGCAAACATATGGATGAAATCTAAAGCATGGAACAATTGAGTTTAGCCTTTTTTTCAATGAAATTGGCCCATAAGTAACCCTTTTGACATCTGTATTCATTCTGTTCACTTAAAAAGTATCAAATTCTTATCTTGGATGCAGGGGTATTACCTTTCCGGATTGTGAAAAAACGCACATTATTTATTTACAATGGGGATTTATTAAGAGAGTTCTGTAGCGAATATTCCAGAAATCCCGATAAACATCGAGGCGCCATGAAAGGTTAGTCATCGGCGATAAAGGCGAATGTGACGTAATCTTTTCAAAAAACATTGTAAATAAATAAAACCACCTAAATAAATTTACGTTACAGTAACTTGAAACTGATTTAAGGAAGGTATCAGTTACGTAAAAATGTTCAAAAAACCTTAATCTACTTACAGCATAGATTATGTCTTCGTACCCATTTGGTGCGCCATACTTGTATCCGTGTATGTAAGTCACTCCAACTGGTCTGAAACTATTTTCTGCTTCGAAATGTATAACATCCTTGTCGAATCCAGCTCGAGATTCCGACTGTTGATTATACTTTGCGTTTAAAACGTTATTTCCATTATAATCCACCGATGCAGATCCCAAACATACATTGGGTTCTTCCTAAAACAATTAAACATATTACTTATTTATTGATTATTATTACAAAAACCCCCAGAAGGCGACAAAAATACTGTAATCATAGGAACGAGTTTGGTTGTGGCTATTATTAGATCATTTTTTAGATGAAAACCAAAATTGAATAACGAATATTTAGGGTTAACCCATCAAATATTTTTGTTCCTTTGGTGGAATCTGATCTACCAACAGCCCTCCAAGGGTACCTTAAAAATAAAATCTCCTCCCATTTAGAAATTAATTAAGTTTTTAGGAAATTTGTTCTTATATTTTTAACAATCTTGAAATGTGGGGGTTGTAACTTGTGTAGTACGTCAAATATTTATTTTTGTATTTAAATAATGTAGCATCAATCCTATAAGAGCACCCTAGAAGTAAAATCGATCCCCATTTTGGAAGTACGTGATTTTTTAGAAAACTCGCTCTTACATTTTTAATAATCTGCAGGGTAGGGATTGTAACTTTAGTAGTACATTAAATACATCTGTTGCTATGGTGGAGTGTGTTTAAATGATCTACCAGCAGCCTTCTAAGGGAACCTTAAGAATAAAATCCCCTTCTACTTGGAAATTAACTACGTTTTTAGACAACCTGCTACATTGCCAGATCTTTTTCTATGGGGCTACTTGAAGTCGAAGGCTTATATCAGCAAGCCAAGGACCCTGGACTTTAAGGTCAACATGCCCCAAGAAATAGCTGCCATATCGACGGACATAATGGCAGATCTGAAGGAAATGTCAAAAAACGGTCACATTCCCCCCGCCAAGCTCAGGGTGATGTAATCAAGTTTCATTAAATTAAATTATGATTTTTTTACGTGAGCAGGAGAAAAGTGTCTTTTTTAATAAATAAATGGCCAACCTTGGGCCTTTGGGATAGCCCCACGCCATATTTTCGCAAAGGGCCGAACAAGTAAAAAAAACTGAATAAAAAATTAGAGATAGTAAGTACTTGGAAAACACAATTTCTCTTAGCTAACTTCAAGCATTCAGTAGTACATTGTGTAACCATAAATAGTATGGTGGCTCTTACTTACCATATATTCATAATCTACTCTTGCCAAATGTTTCGTACTCAATGGGATCTCGATTTTTATAACTCCGGTAGTATTTCGATCCAGTGCAGACCTGCCGAGGACGGTAGTACGTTTTCCGTCTATAATAAGGGTATTGTTGGGCCACGAGAGTTCTATAAATCGATTGTAAACCATGCTAAAGAAAGGGGCTTTTAAAAATAGTACAAACGACACTTTATACTTACCCGCTTGTTTCCGCGCTAAATTTGGTATTCACAAATTCGTATTTTTTAAATGGAGTGACCAAGTCTACCGTTCCTGCCATATTTGCAAACTCGCGGAAATTGACCTGAGCTTTCATAACTGGTCGGCTTTCTGGATAGTGCACATGCAATCTGTATAGGGAAGAACAAATTAATGGGTCTTAAAAAAACGGACGATATGACTTTTTTTGGGGAATCGAGTTAATCTGCGAGTAAAAAAATGGTAGGTTTGCAATACAGAGAAATAATGTAGTAAAAATACAACGGTAGGACTCATATGCGGAGCTTATTTTGTTATGAGTTAAATGTACGTTCAATTAACATTCCCTCGGGCCACGACGTTACATGGTTAATGGAGAAAATTAACCAGATTTTGTTAGGTTTCCGTTAGCTGGCACGTATTTGCCTTGTAGAGAGTTGAAGTCAATCAACAACAGCAAACGGGAGTAAAATTAAAATATTTTTTAGCCAAATTTTCCTTTGTTGCTGAGAAATTAACTTACGTTACGTTTTTGGACATTTGCAGATTATTCAAAATTGCATCCACTACAACTGTATCCTCTGCTTCGTATGTAGGAGAACGCATCCTGTAATGAACGTTAACAACGTCATCAATGTGCAACCAATCGAAATAGTTTTCCAGGCGATTACGATTAAATTCGACGTTCACATTTCCATTTAGTTTGGTGGCGCAGTAGTCAATCTAAAAAAAATTAACGAAAACAAATAAATAACCGAAAAGCAGCTTACAAACCTTTCCTGTCGACAGATAGCTTTTATTTGAATTAGGGGAAGAGTAAGTTAGCAAATAATTGAGGTTTGTCCAATCTTTGTTACTATTAAACTTCCCGGCGACCTTGTGTTCACTAGACTTGGGCAATTTTACGTTAGCTTTCAGATTTATATCCTGCATGGATAACACTGACAATGTCGCATCCGAACTGACGCTAAAATCAAATGAGATTACTAATAAAATTGAAGAATTAAATTGCATTTACTTCCATATGTCGTTAATTGCAGCGTAACCACCAAGCCGTAAACCAGTCAATGAAGGCGTGGGATTAATATAGTACACTTCAAAACTTGTGCTTTCTGCAGTATTGGGCGTTGTGTAATTGTTGATAAACTTAATTTGCATATTTTCCATTATTATCCAAGACCACTCGCCTTCTATACTTCCAACAGCATCGCTTGTCTGATACATAACTTGTAAATTGCGCTTAACATCCAACTTGCTGTAAATAACAAACATGATTTTAAAATGAATATTTCCATTACGCAGTGTTAATAGGTCGTTTCCGTAACCCTAACAACTTCTGGTGTAGTCAGTAATTAGTTGTAGTACTGCAAAAGCATTGTTCGAGCATATCGAAATTTTTCCCTGAACAATTTTAGAACCCCGCGATGCTCGAAGTTAATTTTGCTCATTTTCGACATCAAGCTGCCGTACAGATTAATCACGTCAAAGTAGAGAGACATTTAGTATTATATTGATAAGCGGCTGTAATGGCATAAATTGTTTGTCGATATATTCGACAAATTCATTTCATCATTCATATGCGCCCAGCAACATCGCTCATAAAGGTTATTTAATTAAGGACAGTTAAGTATTTTAGGGTTATACTGCGCATTAATTAGTTTGGCATTTTTGAAGCGTTACATATTAACAAATTATTATGCATACAGTGTGACACTATCTGATTCACGATTAACGTAGAACGTAAAAACAATATATCGCATTTGCGAAGTTATTAAGTTTTTTAAAGAAAAACTATAAAGTGACGAGTTGATTGAATTAGTTTGTTAATCATTTTATTATTTACTTGATGTTGCTAGTTCATAACTAGCTAATCCTGAAACTTTTTTTATCGCAAAATATCGAACTCTGTTGCTGCTTGGCAGACATGGTTCCAAAAAGGTTATGAACAGTGCGACGTGTACATTGTAAATTTTTAAAGTGTTCAATCTGCCATCAGACGGCAATAAATGATTGAAGCATATACGTATGGATCTCGTTAACTTTTGTACTCCGAATTACCTTTAATTTTATTCAATAATATATACTTACACAACTTTTACCATGCGTAATTTTCATGAGGTTTTGCAACAAAGTCTAATTAATCATCAGAACACCAGAACGATTGCCTAAAGAGAGGCATTTCGGTTGAATGTGTAAATTAATTTTAATGGCTGGAACTTGTTTGAAACTCATCATCGCCCCCTTCACTTCTATTTTATACTTCGGTAATTTACTGGCGGTTAGGTGTACATTTTGTTACATGAGCCCGTTCAGAGACTATGATCCTTGTATTTTTGTGCATGGGTAGTTTCGAGTTAAATTCAAACTTTAAGGGAAATACTGATGGGTTATTGCTGGGTGGTATACACCCTCACCGCCTTTAACGTAATTTTCCGGAAATAGTCTTCTTTCCGTGGATATTTCATAGATATACTAGCTAAAGATTGTTTAAGCTACAAAGCTAAACTAAAAAAATGTATTAATTTCAGTTCCCTGCTACTCATTTTTTATAATCACGTAGAACTTATTATTTTATGGTCACTTTGTCCTTAAATCCTTATTTTCGGTCTCTAAGAACCTATACACGAATATAAAACGTGTTAACATTACGCTTTTATCTAAGGTCGTACGGCTTTGAGGCCACCACTTAGGGATAGAGACCATGGAAAACCGAAAGCAACAAAATAACTTCATATTTTCGATTTGGCTAATCCTTTTAATGAGTACAAAGGAATAATACATAATTTACCTACCTGTATTGTACTTTAAGGTGCGGGTTTTCCAAATGTTCAAATGGTGTCTGAGCATCTAGGGCCAGGCTTTTCACGTTAAGGGTGTTTCTTATTTGCGAGTCGACAATAAAAGCCGAATAACGCGTGTTAGATGTGGTAACCTGCAAATAGTGATCACAGAATGAACTAAATGGTAAAAAGTAGTAGAACGCACTTCTAAGTGTATGTTACATTCTTCTTTAACGTCCGATCTAATGTTCGCATATAAATTAATGAAGGTCGCATCTTGGCTTAACTTTACATTGAACGAGATATCGTTTGTTAAAGTTCGATTAGCTTGATATTGTATAAGGAAAGGTACCGCTCCGTCTTGCGGTTTAATATGAATCACAGCTCCCTTGGGCCAGCGATCCTGAAATACTTCCACAGAACCGCTTACTTGATACACTTTGTCATTTGTCTTAACGACACCTTGGATTAAATTATCATCAGATAATTGTCCCTGAATTGTTATTAATCGGCTAAAACAAACAAAACACGATTTAAAGGCACGATATTTCCGTGTGAACAGTACAGGATACATATCAATTTTTTACGTTTAGTTTTCAAACAAAAATATATACGAAATAACGGACAGACTGCAATCGGATTGGAATGGTTTTGTATCGAAATGAAAGGCTGTTGAACTATGCTGTTTAGGTATACGAAAATATTTAAGAGCCTGGAGGATGCATGGGTTGAGCCTAAATACGACGTGGTTTCTGTTATCAATTGTAAGTTACCTTTCTTTGCCAAATTGGGATTGAACAGTCGATATTAGTTGATTGTTTTGAACGGTTAAATTTCCAACCATATTTATTGGTCGAAGGTCCACTTTGAATTTTCCATTTCCTTCTCCTTTAGTAAAAGCCCAAGATGTTTCAATGTCCGCTTTTTCCATTCCTCTTATAGGCGTCTCCAGTAGCAATTTTCCTTTAAAGTTTGTAAGACTGATATACTTCCAAATAGTTAATAAATGCACCTGTTGGAAGAACTTGACGTAGTTAATAAGAGTGAATTGGATAGATCTTACTTTACTAGGCGTTTCCCTCTTCATGTCAAAATTCAGTACCACCTTATTTTCCGGCTTCGAAAATTCTCGTTTGAAATCAAATTTTGTTTCTGGTATATAAATATTGGGTGTTGTGACGTGCAGTATCCCATTAATATCCCATTTCGTTGGTTCCAACTAAAATAATTGGGAACCTTTTTAAAGAATTACCGATTTACTAACTTCACCATTTGGTGCAAGAGTCAATCCACAATATTGATCAAAATTATAAAATTCTTACCTTTGCTCTTGCGTTAACCGTCACGTCTGTACTCTTTGTAACTAGATCAGTGGTAACAGTATAAACGTCAACGTCTTTCTCAAAATAAGTTCGTAAATCAATCTTCTCAACGCTTTCGTATGGTGAGTGTAAGTGAAAGGTGATATTGTGAAGAATTGAGTCGTCTCCGTCTTCAAAAATGTACAAAACAGACGTTCCCATCTAAAACAAACTTATTAGCAGTCTTGCATCGAAATAATTGGTTACATACGGACACAACGTCGCTTCGATTTTGGTAATCAAAATTCAGACCAAACCCAATTTGGTATCCTATTACAATATCTAAGTCCACAATAAATGTAACCTCCTTGTAAGCAGTGTATGGTGTGCTGACGTAGAGTTTGTTGTTTATATTTAGGATATCCTGCAGTTTTTTTTATCAGCACCGTTTTATTTAATTGGTGTCTTACCATGAAATCAAATTCGTTTTTGAATTCGACAAATCCCTCGCGTAGCGACACTGTCCCCAGAAGAACATAAAGGTTGCCCATTTGGTCGATGTCGAAACTGCAATTAACAGTGGGATAGACAATTGAATCAATTTCTATAAAACCATTCCAGTTAATTGGGTTCTCTATTTCCTCGTAGTCCTCGTCGCTATCATCACCGCCAAAATTTTGATTATAAATTGCTTGCGTTTGTATTCCCATTTCGTTTAGTATTTTTGGTTTGGGTTGAGCAAGAAGTGATAATCCCACCTGTACAGAAATTAAGTAACCGGCTCCATAAAAATTAGTTTTCACTAGTAATACTTGTTTGTTAGTAAACCAATTTTTTCAAAAAATGCTGCTCAATCTTGTGATCCGTTAACTGAAATAGTGCACAATTAGAGGTAAACTATGCCCTGTATTTTGCGCTCGCTTTACTACAAATTCTCAAAAGTGCTGTTATTTCATCTGCCTTATGCTATGATTTACCACGCGCTGGATGAGCTCGAGTATGCAAAAGCACCACCTTTTGCCAATTCATAAAGGACGATTTTAAAGATATTTCTTTGCATTTTATTTTTATCACTAAATAATTTCTGTTTTAATTTCATTTAACAACCTTTAGTTATATTTAATTATTAAAAAAAAAAACTAAAAATTCCCACTAAAATAATCATCAAAATAGATATAACATGCGCTCAATCAGCTTACTCCCGCAGGAGGAGGAGGGGGTATAAAACAAAATTGGACCAATGGGAGTTCGAGCAACATCCGAATTATTAATCTACAAGCTTTTCTGAACTTAAATCAATTGGCAGGATTTTGCATACTCAACTTGTAACGAGAGCAATTATTTGCGTTAATTTTTTTGCGATTTATTTTATTAAAATCTACGGAACGAACAATTTCTAAGTTTAAAAAGACTCAGGGTCTAAGGAACATTCAACCAAACAAATATTCCTTATGTCAACTTATTTTGTTCACTGTAATACCCTGAACTTTTTTAGTCATCGTCGTCAGGTCATCAATGAGTTAATTGTTCTAAATTGTAGCTGTCGCCTCATTGTCTTTTCGACCATTCAAGTAGGCGTCCGGAAGTAAACGAGCTTATAAAAAAACAGTTAAGTAATTTTAAAAGCGACCCTTAGTGTCCCTTTGTGCCCAGTGGAAAAATTATATAAATATATAAAAAAGGGATTAAGTGGTGTAAAGTTACTGTAAAATAGCCCAGTGTGGGAGTTGGAAAAAAAATGTAATCGTACCGAGTTCTGCTCGAACAGACCACAAGTCCGTTCTTGTAAATAAACGCGTTCATCAGCGAATTCTTGAAAAAATTCTACCGCGTATTAGGGCAGTGTAATAAAGTAAAAGGAGTTGGATTTATTTCATGTGCAACCCGAAATTACAACAAAGAAAACTGTTAGTAAACCCAGAGAATGTTCAAGTTCGTGTCGCCAAGATAAAGATAATCAGTGTAAAAGTTTACCTAACAGATTTCATAAAAGTTAAATCCAATTTCAAAAACAGCTCATTTAAACTGAGTGTTTACCACCCCTCATTTCGCCACCAAAATTGTACTGGCCAACAGAAGATTTAGCATCGGGAGCCAGCCTGTATTTCCCCATCACTCATCAAAAATTTCAGTCCAAAAAGTCACTTTTTGAAGGTTATTTCAAGTCGCCGGGTTTTAGGAATACGTTCCAGTTGAAAATACCTGTTAACTACCCCAGATTGCTGATTCAACATGGTTAACCGTAACAATTCCCGACTTTCCACATCGAAGAAAAAATTATAAATAAAGAGGTTACAATTCATGGTCATCTGTGACTTAATTTGGCAACATAGTGCAACGTTAAGGTGTATTTGAAGTGTAAATGCAGTTCTGTAAATTTGGAAAAATTTAAATTCAAACCATTAAGCCATTTAGAACTAGAAAAAGAGACGGTCACCTCAAAATAAATTTTAACTATACAAATCTATGTCAGGTAGAAATTTAGGGAATAGAAAATAATGTCCTAAACGGAAATGCATTCTTAAATCGCCCTTAATATATTTTTTTTCAATACGCAGCGATTTCGGTGTTATCACTTGTGCTGGACAGCCAAACAACCCACTTGTAGCCTAATTTCAGATAGAGGAAGCAGTTTAGTTGATTGTGTAAACCAGGAGAGTAAAAAAAGGTAACGTTTAATATAACCGTAAGAACTAGTCGGAGGCATTATTATAAAAAACAAAATAAATTGTCAAGTGTCAACCACTTTTTTGCAAGCGAAATACCGGTGCAAAGTCCATCCAGCTCTCGGTCTTATTTTGCAATCTGTCTGAAAGATTATCAAATTTCGTATTAGATTGATCTAAAAAATAATTTAAAAATGTGTCATGCCCAAAGTAAAAATTGTATTATTTTATGTCTTGCGCTGGCAGTTTGCCACGGATTCCTTGACAAGAGTCACTGTCGCAAAAATTTGGAGGCAAATCGTTTTGAAACACCAGAAGTCTAAATTCACCTCTAGCCATCACTGAATCATCTCCAAAAGCTGTCTCTACGGTCTTAGAGCAGAATAATTCGGATGTAAAAGATCTGGGAAACCGCACCTGGGTTAATGAATATTGAATTGCCTATCAACCTTAAGAAGGAAGCAGCAATAATAAGAAATAATTAATTAAATTAATACTTCTGTTACTAATCATTATTACTGGCGGCTGTATTAATAAATTCGTTTAAAGCTACAAAGGTTACAGTACCAATTCGTACACTGAATAGACGGTACGGATTAACTAAACAAAAGTTTCAGGTGCCCAAGACATTAGTAAAAGCGTACAAATTGAATTTTAGTACATTATATACTAAAGTTAGATAAAAAGGGAGAGGTTATAATCATTTACGCACCCTTTTTTCGGCCAACTTAACAGAAACTTCGAAGTCTAAACCTTCTTTGAATATAAGTTTAGCAACAATTCCGTTCTGTTTGTATCCTTCAATAGGAGTGTAAATCTGATATGAGTATTCAAAATCTGTAACGTTCGTGTAGTGCGAAACTCCCGTAAATCCGGCGAGTAACGAGTTCCATCCAACCCTAAAGTCGACCTAAAATGCAACGAGTGAGACAAACGAATTTGTATAAAACGCCAAAAGATTATACTTCTTCCGCTTTGAGTTTTCCCAAAATTAAAATCATTTGCAGAAATTCCAGCGGTGTGGCCGCATAAAGCTTTACGTCGAAGTTTTGCAGACTTTCAATGTTCAGCTTTATTTCAACTCCCATTGCACCGGCAGGGTATTGAATTAAAGCGATTGCTTGTCTTTTTTCCTCCTGAAATCCAAAATTTCCGGTGACCTTTTTCAAGTTCTGATTGGGGGTAGTTATGTTAAACTCAAACATGTTATCCGAAAATTTGTGGTAGTATCCTAAAAGAAAATCGCGCGTTTTCTCTCGTTTAAGTCGGCATAAACTTACCTTCCACGCTTGTCGTATATTTTCTGTGATCAAGATCTAACTCGGCTACACCTCGTAAATATTTTTTGTTTGTGACATATATTTTACTAACGAGCAATCCTTTGTTATACCCAACAAAGGAGCTTACTAAAGAAACTGTTCCAGTTAAATTCTTCATGTTCTTACTTTCGTTAATAAACCAAGAGCTTTTTAGGGTAATTGCTTTTTTGGGGTTTAGCTAAAATGATCTATAAATGACACATTGAGCCGTTGTAAATTTACCATCAAATTGAGGTGCGTGTCCATTTTGGACACATCCTGATTGTGCTTTAAGCTCAGGGTAACTGAAGGGAAGTCTTGCACTGTACTAATCACTGAACTTGAAAATTCATATCTGGTGTTGGTGTTTGTTTTTTCATAGTCTCTAAACACTTCAGCGGAAATGCGATTATTATTATTCCAATTAATACTGCTGTTCAAACTATACATGTTGTTCTTCTGGTTATATCTGCGGAATATAGAACTAAATGAAAGAAGTTAACATTAATATTTGTGCCTACCTTGTATGAAGTGAACATTTCTTCCAATCTTCCAGTGGAGTAACTAACTGCGAATTCATTAAAAGTACTGTTTCGGCCTCATTTGAGAATTCCGTGTTTAATGTAAACGACAAAACGTCCGTTGGACTCCACGCCAAATATGTTTGTGTAAAAAACTGACCGCCTAGTGCAAATGGTAATTATCAACTTTGCTGGAAAGTAATCTTCATCTTACTCTTTATGTGCAAATTAAAAATGCCATTAACAGCTCGCCCAGGGTAGGAGATTATCAAGTTTCCTCCATAGTTATATAATTCCGGATTTTTAAACTCAATTGTTACGATGAGCTTTTGATTGGGGTCGCGATTCGCATCCCATTTGATTTCAAATCCTGCCGTTTTGTGCAATTCCTTATTATCGCACCATAGTTCTACGTACACATCCCGAAATCTTAAAACATAGACTTAACATCATGGTTTTCTTATACACCACCTCACCGATCTAAGTGAAATTCTAGCAACACTTGCTTTCGCTCTCTCAAGTTAACGGAGCTAGTCACCGAGTAAATTTGCTTATTGTATTTGAGTCTTGCTTGAGTAGAAATATCCAGCAGGGACGACATTACGTGTTTGTAAAACAGTGCGTAATCTTCACCGCCTTGGTTTGCCTGAACAGCGAAATCTCATAAATCGTGAATGCTGAAACCATTATCTGCTTACCCTTATCTGGATTTTGAATTCGATATCGTCTTGATAAAGCTGCGCGTCTGTTTCTAAATCAGCGAAACTTGCCGATTTTATTATGGTTTTCAGATGATGGTTAGATGCCGTTAGTGTACTTCTGTCTTGGTACATTCCTCGAATATTTGCACTATGTCCACTGAACCAAGAGAGATCTAGCGTAATCTGTTGATCAGATCATGGCAAAATTGAGCAAATTTGCAATTATAAATTTATTACAAGCATTGAAAATCACCCTCACGCTAATTAAATCTCCAGAGGTCAAAGAAAAACCTTTCCCCAATCAAATTGCATCTCCACCGCGGTGTAATTAGAAACGCTCTGTTATGAAATGTTTAAATTGTGATATTTGAAGTTAGTTAAAACCGCCTGCTGTGTAGCCATTTTGTTATTTCAGCATCAGAGGCTGAACAGTTAATTTAATATTACTGTAGGATAGACAATACCAAAGTTTATTCTTGCTGTCAATCAAAAATATAGATTCTGTTTAAAGAATCTACTAGCGACCCTCCAATTGCCACATAAAACAAAATCCCTTCCCGTTATAGAAATTCGCATTTACTCTAAGTAGCAATATAGCAATTGCGGGGATTTCGATGTATATGATAGATAATTCTTAAATGATGTAGGTACAGACAACCTTCTACTGGTAAAAATAATATCCCTGTCCGTTTAGAAATTTCGGAATTTTTAAGAAAGTTAAAAATATTCAATTGCGAGGGTGCACCGCGAACATTTTTGTTTCTTTGATAGATTATGTTTAAAAGATCCACAAGCAACCCTTTGATCGTCCCATAAAAATCCCTTTCCGTTTTGAAATGTGATTTTTTACAAAATTTCTCTTAAGTACATAGGAGTATTTCATTGCGGGGGTTGTAACTTTTGTTGTACATACAATATTTTTGTTTCTTGATCTGCATGCAATCTTATAATTGCCACACAACAATTAAATTACTTTCTGTTCAGAATTTTCGTGATTTAAAAAAAATTCGCTCTTATCTGCATAACATTCCCTTGCTGGGGTTGTAAGTTGCAACACATTTAGAAAACATATTCGAACCGGAAAAACATCCTGCTGAAGCACAGTTTTATGCAGGCATAGACGCCGAAATACACCTGTATCCCACCCCCTCTAAAACTAAGCAAAATCAAATAAAACTTACATCGCCAAGTGAAATTCAGGAACTCATAAAAGAACTCCCAACAAAAAAATCACCCGGACACGACCTGATTCCCAACATAGTACTGAAAAACCTTAGTGATAAACTAATAGCAAACCTTGTAACAATATTTAATGCATGCATTTCAACAGGATACTTCCCAACAACATGGAAAAAAGCAGAAATAATCTTAATTCATAAACCAGGAAAAAATAAAAGTGACTCCTACAGACCTATTAGTTTATTGCCCACAATCTCAAAAATACTCGAAAAAATTATAAAAATTCGACTACACCAATTTGTAGAACAGAAAGAGATAATCCCGCATCATCAATTTGGGTTTAAACCTAGGCACTCGACCTTACATCAATTACTACGCATCAATGAAGTGGTTATTAACGGATTTGAGAACAAGTTACACACGTGCATATTGTTTTTAGATTTCGCACGGGCTTTTGATAAAGTCTGGATTAATGGATTGCTATACAAACTTAAACAAAAGAAAATTCCCGGATATTTACTAAAAGTTATACACTCATTTCTACATAATAGAACCTTTTACGCCAGAATCAACGCCACATACCTACTCAGACGTAAAACCGATCAAGGGTGGAGTCCCGCAAGGCTCAGTCCTAGCACCCATGCTGTTTAACCTATACACGGCAGACATACCCACCCCGCAATCTAGTAACCTAGCCATGTTTGCAGACGATACAATACTTCTAACACAACACAATGAAATATTAACTGCCGCTGCTCAACTACAACTATCAATAGACGAGCTTTTAAGTTGGCTACGCAAATGGTGCTTGACATTAAATACCACCAAATGCATAAGCAAAATCTTTACCTTACGGCGACCGCTAAACCCACCTAACATAGTCATCGATAATGTCTCAATACCGTGGAACCCACCTGATCAAGCTGTTCGATACCTGGGACTACACCTTGATAGACGCCTCACCTGGGGATACCACATTAATAATAAACTAAATGAAGCCTACGCACGACTGTCATTATTATATCCAATACTCAACAGAAAATCATCCCTACGTATTAAATGTAGCAAACTGATTTACTTGGCTATTCTACGACCCATTATTACTTACGGCTGTGTCGTATGAGGCGTTGCATCTAAAACCCACATCGGTAAATTGCAAACTTTTCAAAATAAAGTTCTACGGATAATAACAAACTCACCTTGGTTCATGAGAAACAGTCAGATACTCCGGGAACTGGAAATCCCTCTAATCGAACAATATATTAAACAAAGTGCAAATAAGTTCTTTCTCAACCTACCGGAGTGCGCGAGTGCAGTACACTATAACCTCGGTATCAAGTCAGAACGCACTAGACTTAAAAAAAGACTTCCGCAAGATGTGCTATTATCTTAGGATAACGTCCTTGTTACCTAGTTAATTTAGTTACGTATCTAAGGCTACAACTAATTAATAACTAACATCTAAACTATGAATAACATGTAATATGTCGAACTAGTTAGAATTATTAAATAATAAAAAACTTGTACACAACAAATTTGTGTTTATTTAATAGATTATCCTTAAATGATCGACAAACAACCCTCTAATTGCCATATCAAAAAATAAAATTTCGTTCCCGTTTTGAGATTTTGGAATTTTTAGCGCATTTTTGGAAAAAAATATGCTATTATATTCGTTATGTGCAGGCTCTAGTCTGTTTTGAGTTAGATTACTTGTGATATCGATAATTTAAGAAAATAATTTCGATATGGTTTTCGGAGGTGTTATAATTTTACCGTTAGATAGCGCTAACAACTTAATTACTAGCGCATTTTTGAAAAAGAAATAGCTAGAGACTTCAAAGTTTCACTAAAACCTTTCTGATGTAGTGTAGTTGTGCAGGCTCTAGTCTATTTTGAGTTAGATTCCTTGTGAGATCGATATTTGAAGGAAATACTTTCGATATGCTTTCGGAGGTGCTATAATTATACCATTAGATAGCGATACCAGTATAACAACTTAATTATTAGCGCATTTAAAAAAAATACGCTATTATATTGGTTATGACCGGCTTGCTGGCTGAGATCTCAGCAATTACAATTACTAGAGACTTTAAATTTTCACTAAAAGCTTTCTGTTATGTAGTATATTTTGAGTTAGGTTACTCGTGAGATAGATAATTTTAAACTTTGCTAATGCATTGCATTACCAAAAATGCGCTTTCATCATGCATATGGTGATTTACGACTTGTTTAACATAGCAATATTCAATTACGGGGGTTGTAACCTTTGTTGTACAATAATTTTTTTTCCTTCTTTGATAGATTATGCTTACGTGATCCAATGTGACCCTCTAATAGCCACATAAAAATAAAATTTCGTTCCCGTTTTGAAATTTCGGAATTGTTCAAAAATCCGCCCTTAAGTACATAGCAATATTCAATTACGGGGGTTCCAACTTTTGTTGTACAAGAAAATGATTTACTTCTTTGATAGATTATGCTTATGTGATCTACATTCGACCCCCTAATAGCCACAAAAAAATAAAATTTCGTTCCCGTTTTGAAATTTCTCAATTTAAAAAAAAATCCGCTCAATATTCAATTACGGGGGTTGGAACCTTTGTTGTACAATAAAATTTGTTCCTTCTTTGATAAATTATGCTTACGTGATCCACATGCGATCCTCTAATAACCACATAAATATAAAATTTCGTTCTCGTTTTGAAATTTCGGAATTTTTAAAAAAATCCGCTCTCAAGTACATAGCAATATTCAATTACGGGGGTTGTAACTTTTGTTGTGCAATAAAATGGTTTACTTCTTTGATAGATTATGCTTATGTGATCTACATTCGATCCTCTAATAGCCACATAAAAATAAAATTTCGTTTCCGTTTTGAAATTTCCCAATTTAAAGAAAAATCCGCTCAATATTCAATTACGGGGGTTGTAACCATTGTTGTACAATAAAATTTGTTCCTTCTTTGATAGATTATGATTACGTAATCTAAGGCGACCCTCTAATAACCACATAAAAATAAAATTTCGTTCCCATTTTGAAATTACAGAATTTTTAATAAAATCCGGTACATAGCAATATTCAATTAAGGGGGTTGTAACTTTTGATATACAACACAAATTTCTCATTTTTTTTATTGATGGATTTTATAAGTGATCTACATGAGTAGTAAACGTGCAGCCCTCCTCATCCTTCTGACGTTACATTACGTGGCCTGACGCCACATTACGTGGCTATGGTGGTCAATTTGAATTTTTGAATTTCCGGATGTCGGTCATTCTGTCGCGGTAAGTTTCAATTTGTGCGGGAAATTTGAATTTTTGAATTTGCGGATGTTCGCCATTTTGTAGCGGTAAATTTGAATTTGTGCGGGGAATCTGAATTTTTTACTGTAATTGGCTGTGCCATTTTCAATCATCGTGAGGGGTGTTTTTTGTACCAGTGGCAATAGGTCGTTAACTGGTCGGCCATTTTTTCCGATAGTACCGAAGCATCCGAAAATTCAAAAATTCAAATCTCCCACACAAACTCAAACTTGCCGCGAAAAAATTGTAACTTTTATTGTACAGGGTGTCCCACTAATAATGGCCACAGATCATATCTATGGAACCGTTGATTGCACAGCTTCGGGAAAAATAAAAGAGGCCAAGAGAAATCGCTGGAAATTATTTTCTAGTTTCTAGCTGTGCCGCTAGAGGTCGTACGATTTATGGTTGACTTTTTTCCTAAAATATACCCAACAAGCATGCATAAAAAAATACATGCATCGCAATCTTGTTTCAATTTTGCATCATTATGATGCAGCACATTATTGCTCTGGTTCATAAAATATAAAGGGTGGGGGAAGGGGAACATCTCTTTGATAAATTAAATGCAACTTCGGACATAATACGTGTTGCTGGAAAGAGCTTTCTTTATGGAATCAGAGTTTACATGAATAGAGTCTTTTTAGTAATTGTGATGATTGGTAGAGGGCGCGATGTGACATTAAAATTTTTCCCAAAGCTGTGCATTTAACGGTTCCATAGATACCTGTGATCTATATTAATGGGACACCCTGCGTTTCTTTAATAGGTTATGCTTAATTGATCCACAAAAAATACTCCAATGCTGCATAAAAAAATCTCTTCCCAATTTGAAATTGCTTTCATTTGCGGGAGTTGTAACTTTGTATTTGGGGGGGGGGGGGGGGTTATGCAGTTTGTGTTTATAAAGATCTACATGCAACGTTGCATATGCCACCTTGCAATCTTGAAATTTGATATTCTTAATGAAAATTCTCTTCTTCCCTTTTTAACCATGTCAAACTCAATAAGGCATTCATTTAACGAAAAAATAATAGCATATTTTAGATCGTTGAAAACAAATGAGAACCTTTCCTCTGAATACCCAATAAAAATCTAATATTGCACCCTTTTGATTGAGAACACCTGGTATACCCATTACCCAACCCTTGTGGCGTTGGTTTCGAAAAATTAAATGAAGAACGAATATTTAAAAAAATTTCTCGTGCACTTTGGCTTGGTAAACCTTACTGATTTTGATTGGTATTAGGTTTTTCAAAATTCAGGTATCTACTATTGATTGGAAAATCTGGTATTGGTAGTGTAAAGAACTTGGTACGTACGTCGTAGTTGTTGGTCTTCCTTTCGTTGACCTTTAACTGGGCGATCATTGGTGAGTGATGTGGAATTGTTACATTTATAAGTCCTTCGTAGCGTTCAAGAGTGCCATGTGGATGAGACCAGTACACGTTGATCACAGCTTGTTTCTCCTTGGAGTACTTTAGCAGAGCCTTTAGGTCTGAAGTAGGCCCTCTTACTAGATAAAGGACCTGCACACCTAAATGTAGGTCGGAAGCCGGTTTTAATGCTAACGTCTTTATTTCAAAATCGTAACCACCCGATGTAGTTTTATGCTTAATTTCAATCAAAACTTTCAGCCTGTTGGAATCGTCATTTTCAGTATTACGACTATTCAGTCCAGAAGTGATTTCCAACTTACTTTCCAAGCGACCCGCTGCTCTCTAAGGGAGAACGTATGAAATACTTTACCTGAAAATAATGACGACTTACTTGAAATTTAAGTGCTGCCTCAAAGTTAAAATGCGGATACGCTGTAGTTTCTACTTTGATATCCCCTATCAATGCCATTAAGGTACGAGTGGAACGATTAGCTAACAAAACTTCTAATATTGCTCTTTGTGCTTTCGTATTTACAAATTTGTAATCCAGTTTTAAATTAACTCCTACCGATCCGTCCGTCTTTGATACGTAGCCGAACACTTTAGAAGTTAGTCTCTTAGTGTGGAATGTTAGGTCGACGTCGCACTGCGAAATACTTTTCTTTGTCATCCATTTCAGAGTACCTAAAAACGTGTGAAATAAAGTTTTAGTGAAGAATTCAACATTTTCATATTACAAAAATTGTAAACCTTGAATTTCGGCTACACGCTCTCCATTAACGCCTAAGTATGCCTTTGGGAAGTAGGTGTGTCCATTCTGACTCTCTGCTTGCTTCAGTGATAAACTGGCGTCAAAGTGTTTTTTGTTGTTTATATCTAGAGTCATTTTTAGGTATTTTTCATCTTTTGTGTTTTTTAAGCTCCCATGCGTTAAAATGGTATAACCTGGTGCGTTTAACGCAAGGTTGGAATCACATCCCAATGGATGAAAGCTCATGTTGGCACTCATTAATCTCCGCTCTACCGTGCCCACGGCGTCAAATGTAAGGGTCATTGCATTATTTTTGCTTTTCTTATCCCACGTATATTCCAAAATATAAGACTGAGCGGTTTTTTGCAGTGAAAGCCCAAACCCAGACGGGCCCGCAAGTGGAAAATAAGGCGCTGTTTCTATGCGAGTTACATTAGGATAATGGTAATGGGCGCACAACTTGAGTCCGAGGGTTTTTTCAAACACGGGCCAACTGCAGGTTGACTTTTCCACGGCACTTCCCTCCACTCCAGATTGTTGGTGTTCCACTCCTCCCTTGACAACAATCAGCTCGGATCTTGAAAATAAAAGGTAATTGCGATTTATATTACGGAATAGTCTTACTGTGCGCCAAATAGTTCTGATTTTTCATTTGGAAGGCTGAATGTTGCACTAATTACATCAGTTCCTCGAACTTTAACATTGCCCTCTACTGCCGTTGAAGTATACACGTTTGTTTTCAATTTTATAGCTGTACTGGCGTAGAATGCATCGACCGACATAGTGCCCACAATATCTACAGCAGCATTAGGCCTTATATCTCCCACTAGATCCAGAGCTTTAGTTTTCAAGAAATTATCCGCATTTAATGATCCAAATATTTTTAAGTTTACTGATACGGTTCCGACAGAATTCAAAATGATTGGGAAACCAGAGCCGGTCGGTACGATATAGTTACTGTCCATGAACATTGCGGCTTTGTTGTAATTCAATTCCTGTAAGTTCGTAAATGCGCGTCAATTTATTTTGCAACCCACTTACTTTTCCAGAAACTAGCCTTTTGATATGATCAATTGGATGTAAGCTATATATGGCCTTCAAGATTTCGTCCTTCCCTTTCAAGGTTTTGTGTTTGAGATCATTCCCAAAAATCTTCATTCCTAACGAAACCTGTAATAGAGGAATCTAAGCAACGTTAATGTCAGGAATTGATCTTACCTTCGGTTCACCAAAGTTGTTGCGATTAGATTCGGCCATTTTGTCTACTTCCGACAATAACTGTTTGTTGTCAAAATTGCTTCTTGGCCATCTCATCCTCGGTAACTTATCGTGCAATTTTTTTGCGTTCAATGGACCTTTTGGACCAAACACCGATTCCAGGTAGTTTTCGAAACCCTCAACTCGACTTGTCAGCTGTACAACATTCTGTTAGTGCACCTAATTTGGTAAGCCTGCACTTTTACCTCTAGTATATTGATGGACTTCCCAAACAAATCGACCGTCAAATTGAAATTGAGACTTCTAGGGACGTACGATGAAGGCGAGAAAATAACATTGCTTTCACAACTGCCACCTATAACAATACGAAATACATTGCAATACCGAGTGGTTTGAAAAGAATTCCATGGGCCATGAGAGTTAATAATATTTATTTTATTACAGTAAAATTAGGTTTTGACCCGGACATTTATAATTACTAAGCGGAACCTTTTGGAATATGTTCGGACACCTTCCAGGATGACGCAAAAAAGTCCCATGACCTCTTTAGTGGATTACCCGGGATATCCTGGAAAAAGTGGAATTTCAATTTAATTTATCCTCCTGGAAGTGAAAATATTTAACGTCATGTCATATTCAGATCAGCATCAGCATCTAACGGTACGGCCGCACACCTAATAGGAGTCCGACTAGAGAGCCCTTCGGTGGGTTCCCCTTGACTTTACCGTGAGTTACCAATCCACAGGTACTGAGCTTTCCGACACGATAGGCGACAACCCGTTCGAGGGAGAACGATTTTAGACCCGCTCCAGAAATGTTCTTGACATTTCACTTTTTCCAGGACGTCCCGCTATCCAACTAGGGCCTAGGGAGGTCGTACGACTTTCTTGAGCGTCATTCTGGAAGGTGTCCGAACATATTCCAAAATGTCCCGCTTAGTAATTTTAAATGTACGGGTTTAGGGGGAAATTGGTCTAATTTTACTGTACTATTTGGGCATATACGTTCGGCGTTTGGATTTGACAATACGCAAACGTATTTCTTAAATGAGGAATCCAGTGTGGAATTACATCCCTGTATCTAAAGTAAACGGTTCCTATGGAAAGTGGATCTAAGCACAACCATTTTTTAAATGGCTGAATCCTCAAACGCTATAGTGTTAGAAAACAAAACATTTAAGCATAATCAAAAAAGGGAACATAAAAGAATATGGGGTTGCTCTACTTGCACCCTGTCAGTTTTTTGAGTTTCAAGAATCTAAACGAATCCGAATTTAAACATTTTTTCGAAAATTCTGTTAACATGTCATGATATTTTAGGCTAGTCAAAATAGGTGGTTAAGGTAGAAAAAAAAAGTAACAAAGTGATCTCTGCGGAAATGAGTACCCAATAGGGTCCTTATTAACCTCTCAAAAATCGCACTTTGTCGCATTGGTGGCCGCCATTTTGATTTTTTCGAATTTATTAAATATTTTCTAAAGTATACATTATATCAAAAAAACTCGAGACTTTTTTTATGGAGAATCAAAAGTTACCTATAATAAAAGTTTAAGTCTATTGATCAAAAAACAAAAAAGTTATTGAAATTTATATGATTTGGCAATATGGATTTTTTAAAAATTTGGTAAATATCTGAATTAGTTAAAACTATTTTGTATGCCCAATTTTGAAAATAAGGATTTTAAAGTAAAACACTCAATAATTGGGTAATTATTCACATCTGTGTCGAGACTTAGATGTATTTCAAAAACTTAATGCAGATATAACAGTTTTAATTAAATCAGGACTTAAAATTATTTTAAATCTGTACCGGTGTTCAAAGAAGATTCATGATTTAATGTAGCAGGTAAGTAGAGGGAGGCAAATAATTGAATGTTTTTATTTTCTTTAGGTTATCGGTTCACTAGAGTCGTTTATATATTTTAGCAAGGTCTGATGATGAAGTGAGCTTCGAAATCGATAACCTAAAGAAAATAAAAACATTCAATTCCCTCTACTTCCCTCTACTTACCTGCTACATTAAATATATCCAAATAATTCACAACATCAATAAAAGAAAAAAAAAAGATTCATGATATTAATGTGCTGTTTGGCAGCTTCTTCGGTTGGTGGTAGTGAGGCTAAACTCAATTCTGAATTTAAGCTTTGCCTTGCAGTCTTTCGCATATATAGGGTGGTGACTTGCGTAACGCATCATAGGGATTTAAATGTAAAATTCATAACATGCGATTATTGGCTCCCCAAATTATTTTAGAGCAAAAATGTATTAAGCTTTTTTGTAGAAAACATTTTTTTACGCCAATCATATAAAGACGGAAAATTGGAAAAATAAAACCCGCATCTTTTTAAACAATCTGCGATGCCATGGAATTTTCTAAAACAAAAAGATATCAGCAGTTCGAAATGGATTTTATAATCGACTTGGTTACTGTCTTGCAGTTAATGGTGACTTATTCGAACATTTATTGTAAATTGTTATATTAGGAAACCGTTTTTAGTAATTTAGTCTTTCTTTATGTTGAATTCACTGTTCTAAATGTAATACTTTTTGAGAATTTGATTTGTTTGATAGTAGACATTCCATGGCTTGACGGATATTGGCGTAGTTTTTCTATTATAAAATTCCATGGCATCACAGATTATTGGAAAAAATAATTTTCCGTCTTTATTATGCAAAAAATTGAAAACTAATGCGGTTGATTGCCGTAAAAAATTTTTCCCTACAAAAAACCTTAATACATTTTTGCTCTAAAATAATTTGGGGAGCCAATAATCGCATGTTATGAATTTTACATTGAAATCCCTATGACGCGTTACGCAAGTCACCACCCTGTATAGTGTGTGACGTAACTGGTTAATATCATGAATCTTCTTTGGACACCGGTACAGATTTAAAATAATTTTAAGTCCTGATTTAATTAAAACTTATATCTGCATTAAGTTCTTGAAATACATCTAAGTCTCGACACAGATGTGATAATTACCCAAATCATATAAATTTCAATAACTTTTTTGTTTTTTGATCAATAGACTTAAACTTTTTTTTATTACAGGTAACTTTTGATTCTCCATAAAAAAAGTCTCTTGAGTTTTTTTGATATAATGTATACTTTACGAAATATTAAAAAAATTCGAAAAAATCAAGATGGCGGCCATTTTTTTCCAAGTTCCACCAATGCGGCAAAGTGTGATTTTTGAGGGGTTAATAAGGACCCTATTGAGTACTCATTTCCGCAGAGATCACTTTGTTACTAATTTTTTCTACCTCACTTGTATAAACCTGCCTAGATTGACCAGTTACAACTATGTGTATACTAGGAATTTAAAAATTCTGACCCAGAATACTCGCCCCCAAAATAAATGCCTCAAGAGAAGAGTCGCTTATAAGGAAAATACCCCCCGGATAATTCGCCTTTGGAATAGTCGCTCATGGAAGATGCGCCCACAAAAAAATTCGGCTCTGGAAAATTAGCCTCTAAGGAAAATTCGATCATGCTGGGATATTCGCTTGTCTGAGATTCGCCATGGCAAATGCACCCCACCCTTAAGCAAATTCTCTATCCCTAGAATGTTAACCCTAGAGAAAGATTCGACAAAATATGCCAAACAAAACATTCACGTTGAGAAAAGCTCTCCCGCCAAAGAATTGCCCTTAAAAATCCTCGATCTTGGAATGATATATTAGTCATCCACCCCAACTATTTCAGCGCCCTTGAAAATATAAAAATATGTCAATTTTCTATTGAAAAAGATGTTAAACTTCAGTTTTGTGGCTTGAGTAGCAGTAGATTTTGAAAATTTGGAATTCATTTTGTTTTTAACTCAAATACGGCAATGACGCTTCAATATTTTCGACAAAATGATCGCCAAAAGGCAAAAACCATACCAGATCTGTTTATAAAATGGGTGGGAGTGGGAAACCATATTCGGTTAGCACAAATGAATTATGTGGCTCTACTTACCGACGTTATATTCATCAAAGAACACCGAGCCTTCATAATTATGTGAAAATTTTCGTATGTCACTGCTGAACTTTTTACTCAAATCTTTGTCATTAAGCACACTCTGGATCTCCACTTTGCTCGGAACGGAAGATTTCAAAAGATTCTTCAAATGACTCCAAACAAATGAACCCACTAAATAACAAAAATAAATCAAAACTTCAAGACAATAGAATATTAGGTACCTTGGTTAACTTCTTCGTTTTCTAAACTATGGCGAATGGTCCTAATAACCAAATAATGAGGACATCGCATAATCTGAAGATACGATGCAATTCGAACCTCGGCATCTTCTGTTTGATTGCGATAAATGGACTCAAAGAACCTACTGGTTTCTTCGCATGGATATCGTCGAAATGCTTCAACACAGGCTATCCTGAGTGCTACGCTCAGAGTACTATCCTTTACCATCGAAAACAAAGTATTCTTGAAATGTTCCGATAGAACTCCAATGTTCGCCAGTCCTTTTAACGAAACTAACATCTAAAACCAAACGTTTAACGACATACCTGCTAAAAAGTCACTTACACTTTCTTGTGCATCGAAATCATTTTCGCGGGTATACCTTTTTGAAATTTCTTTCTCTAAAAACGTCACTATTTTTTCGACGAACTCATTTGACAAGCAGTGCTTATTTTGCACACAGAACGTATGTGTCAAGGCAGTAACGGTTAATGTAACAGTGAAGTCGCTTCCCTTGTGCAGCAATAATTCACTTGCAGCTTCCAGCATGTCTTCATCGGGACGCGAAATAAAAGCGATGTTGTTCAACCAATCGTGCATTGTATCATCAGAAATGCTATTATTTAGCATTATGTCTTTCATTACTGATACACCTGCACTGCTTCCTACATACGGTAAAGCATCAAGCATGTGTTTCCTAAATCAATTTCAATAGTAGGTAATGCCATCAAGTTGCACTCACGTACCTTCCACTTATGCAAATTGTATCAGCGTGACCAAATAATGAGGACAATGCGGTATACGAAAGATGGCGAGCCGTATGGATGAACCGTGTAAATAAATCTGAAAATTCGGCTTGGAAATTGTTAGCGTTCAGTTTGCAAAGTTGTTTTATTAAATCTCGTGACGCTTTCAGTTCTCCAGACGTTGGTTTTGGTGTTGGTACTTGATCGTATAGTAAAGTTGTTCTTTTGGTAATGGTCGGTAAATCTTCTACGACTCCACTAATGTCTGACTGAAGAGTTAGTGTTTGTTTTAATACAGTTACGGCTCCTGCCACATTATGGGAGAATGGTTGGAACGCATGGGTCTCCTCACACGTGATTTGATTATAGATGTTATGGTCAATTGACATTTTACACAAGCTTTCTGATTTCATCAAACTGTCTCTTTCGGAAGTAACCTGCAAGGGGTTACATAAACAGGATAATTTGGGTAATTTGTTACTCACCGACTGAAAATTGTAAGGCGTTGACTGTAAAAATGACTGAAATGTTGAACCCGTTGTACAAGAGTTGAGATCTTTTCTTTTTTCGATTAACAGACTCGTTTCCTTTGTACCTTCAACTTTGTAAGATGTATGACAGTGGCCTCGCACGTCTTCTTCAATTGTGATGTAATCTAAATCGATTCTCTTCATGGTATTTTGAATCACCGATAAAAGGCCGCGTTTAAAATTCAACACCCAGCTCTTTTCTTTTTCGTCTGGGCAGATTTCCGATATAGTGCCGTCCTCGAAGGAAAAACGTAATGTGTGGTGGCTAATGTCCTCCGCAAAGGCATCGCTGTTTGATTGCTCGTAGTCATCACCAGTAACATAATCTCCATCAGCAACAGTATTGGGGTTGTCACTTAACGTTACATCGTAGATGGAGAGTATTCCTTCACATTCCGAAATGAACCCCAACTTTATGGTGGCTTCTACGTGTAAAGTGGATTCATTTGTACTTGTTCCATTGAATAATGTTGCAATGTCAATATTGTAAGTATAGAGCTGCTGAACTTCAGGATTGTACTTAAACTTGTCTCCACCTGAGGAAATCACGCTTTAGGTTACCTATTAATTGAACAAAGAACCACAAAAACGATTCAAATAATGGAACATACACATAAATATTCATTTCAAGGGTGAGTGGCTAAATCTTGGACACATAGAATACCAGGTTATTACTTTTAGTAAATTAGTGTACATTCGTGCTATAGCGCCACGAGTTACAATGGCCTATGATTGTTTCATTAAATAACCCGCGAAACTCGCGAAAGTGACTAAAGCTCACTTTGTCTTCGAGACGCATATACTAATTCACAAGTACCTTACCTTTACATTCAGGTTTCCCACAGATGCTGGGATCTCTTAGTGGATCTGAAATTTAAAAAAAATTAGGAAATTATTTGAAGCTAGTATCAGTTACTTCAGCAGGGGAAGGGGAGGAGTGTGGTAATTAAACTTAAGTCGTGAATTTTTACTCCTCGAGAGAGAAGTGAATATAGTACGCGGTGTTACGAGGACTACCGGAAAAGCTTCGGGAAACGATTTGAAATACATTGAATACCTTTAATAAGTTCAAAACATTTTTGAATGGTCGCGTCGATTTGTTGGAAATGGCGGCCCAAACTAGTGATCAAAAACGAAAAGGTCCAACACACGTTCATTCAATCAATCCAGCCCCGTACTTAAAAAACTTACGAAGGAAGGGCAAGCTTATCGTTAGAGAGGGCAAATGACAATCGTGTTTTTTTTAAATAACATACACCTTGAAACAAATTTCGATTTCCTCAAAAGAAAAATTAAAACAACTGCAATCGTCGATTTTTACCACCCGCACGTTTGTAATGGAGGTTGCATTGGGGTAAAAAATAACCCCCAATTTTCTGACCAAAATAGAGCACCAGGAATACGAATCAAGCAAAATCTCGATTATGTCTGTCGGTCTGTCTGTTTGTAGTCTCATTGCTAGCTAAACGGCTGAACCGATTGAAACTACATTTGGTTCTTTCTTCTTAGACATAGAAGGAAGAGCTGCAAAGCTTTTGGGCATAGTGTATGGGGGATATCTGTGCTATCCACAGCAAATTTTTTATTACTTAATATTCGTAAAAGCCTATCAAAGTCTATTTTGTTCGCATGCTGTTTTACAAATGCCAAAAGAACTAAATTTGCCAATCTTTGATGCATCACTGAAAAAAATGGGCGATCGACTCTGTTTAAAACAGAGAACGTAGACTCACATCCCACATAGCATTCGATATCTTATGTATATACATTTTAAATCCATAATGTACAGGGAATATCCTGTCCATCTTATGTATATACTATGTATATTCATTATAGGATAGGCATATGTATTTTATGTTCAGTATGGATATTCTATAAATATACATTTTGGATGTGCTATGTATATACATGGGATTATATGTTATGTATATGCGTTTTGGATTTGATACATGTGTGTTCTGTATTACCGACGTTACAAACGTTAGCTTCTCATTTTCTGTGAATTACGGCGATGTGTTATTCTGCGAGTTATTAATGAGTTTGTTTGTCTAATTTTGACAGTGAAGGTAATGATTTTTATTTCGTGTGTGCATGATCTAAAGTTGTAAATATGTGTTAGTGAGATGTAAAGACTGGATGGGAATTAATATAAGGACAAGAATGGCAGGTATGTTAGCAACCTATTTGTTATGAACTCGCGCTATTATAGTGTTGAACAAGAACACGATCAAAAAGACTCAAGACTACAGTGTTAAATAAAACAATAATAATTTCTTAAGCACATTTTCCATTGTACACTAAGAGACTTAATAAACAAAAAGCTCCACTCCGTGAAAAGAATTTATTTATGAAGGTACAGACCAGAGCTGGGCAGAATACTTTCAAAAAGTATTTGAATACTAAATAGTAAATACTTTACACAAATCAAAGGTATTTGAATACTAAATACTTTTACGTCCAGCACAAGCGAATACTAGATACAGATAAATTGAAAAGTATTCAAATACTTTAAAAAATAAGTATTCAAATACTTTAGAATGTATTCGAATACTTTCAAAAGTATTCTAATACTATCAAAGGTATTCGAATACTATAAAAAGTATTCGAATACCTTGAAAAGTATTTCAATAAGTTACTTTGAAAAGTATTCGAATACAGTAAAAAGTATTCAAATACTTGTGACTCAAATACATTAAAAATGTAAAATAGTATACTAGATAAAAGTCTTAATAGTACTTAAAAAATCAAGTTATACTTTGTATGGGGTTAGCTTTTTTTATATTTCTATTGTTATATACAAATTTAAGGGGAGTAAAAGTAATAATTTCAAACAGTTCCAAGATTGGGCTACTAGTTCAAAACTTACAGCCCTTTGAATTTTCTTTCGAAATTGGTTTCTAGTCTATAACTTTTGATTGAGAAGTCTGATCGATAAAGTACGAATTGAATTGGATTCTACGCACCAAAATTAATATGAGAAAGTGTTTTCCCGAGAAATTTTGGTGTAATCGGTTTTTGGGTAAAAAAGGAAGATTGTACACTGCCTTTTTGGAGGCCCGAAAAAAAAATTGTCTCAGAACAACCCGGAAAAAAATTTTCTTATAGAATGTGGCCTGTAGAATCCATAATCTCAAACAGTTCCAAGATTGGGCTACTAGTTCAAAACTTACAGCCCTTTGAATTTTCTTTCGAAATTGGTTTCTAGTCTATAACTTTTGATTGAGAAGTCTGATCGAAAAAGTACGAATTGAATTGGATTCTACGCACCAAAATTAATATGAGAAAGTGTTTTCCCGAGAAATTTTGGTGTAGTCGGTTTTTGGGTAAAAAAGGAAGATTGTACACTGCCTTTTTGGAGGCCCGAAAAAAAAATTGTCTCAGAATGACCCGGAAAAAAATTTTCTTATAGAATGTGGCCTGTTGAATCCATAATTTCAAACAGTTCCAAGATTGGGCGACTAGTTCACAAGTTACAGCCCTTTGAAATTTCTTTCGAAATTGACTAAATATTTGTGAAAGTATTTGAGTTAAGCTTCCATAAAAGTATTTAATTCCAAAGTATTTGAATACTTTAAAGGATTTGAATACTAAAAAGTATTTACAAAATCGAATACTGCCCAGCTCTGGTATGGACGCTAGTAAACTTCCCGAATGTTAGAGGAATTTCTATAGAACATCCATTCTGAATGTATACAAGATACATAGAATATCCTATTGAACATCTTTTGCATATTACAGGAATATTTACGATATATCCAGTTGTCAGTATACCAATGTACATAGCATCTCTGATGCATATACATGCATATACATAAGACATCCAAAACGTATATACTATTTATTATGTGAAGTCTGCCAAACTGATATCCCATGCACATACATCGGACATTTGCGACATACTTTTCCACATTCTATGGATATACAATATCCCACGTGGAATGTACATGGTATATGCAATGTATATAGGTCTGCTATGTGGGATATAGCTATACAGCACCCAAAAATACGTGTAGCTGATACTAGAGCTGATAAGTGTTTTGAAACGCTATTCTCTGGTTATAGATCTCTTGAAAAATGTTACGGTTTTGCATGTTCTTTAAATATGCTTTGACGGCTGCAGGTTCTTCTTTAGTTGGTAAGACATATTGAAACTTATCAGAATCCAGTTCCTCGGCGGCGACAATAGCTCTTATTATAGTTCCTTGTTGTCGCGAAACCTTTTAATCAATTCTAATAAGATGATATCGAGCACCTCAACAAAAATTTGTTTTAAATTTAATAAGTTGCCATCCCCTTGTATTATTTCTTGATTGGTTCCGGTGGTTTCCAGAAAATCCTTAAGAGAATAACTTAGGTAGGTACTTTTCGACTTTCGAAACTTCCGGTATTAATGTGGTGCATTATTTCTTCATATCAATTCTCTTGATCTCGCATAACTGTGCAAAGTTTGAAACGGATAGGTTTAAGCGTTTGGCAGAGATGACAGGGAGGCGTGACCCCAAGGCGTCAATGTATTTGACCCATTTTCAACAGGCTTACTACATGTGGCATATAGGTCAACTATGGAAAGGTTGAACCGAATAAGTTCAAGAGTTTGGCAGAGACAGAGAGGTGTGCCCCCAAGGGTTCAAGCGTTTGACAGTTATCGTGTTCACGGACGGACAGATGGACCGACGGACACCATCGACTCCCCTATAAAGCTTGCATCGCTTAGCTCTGCCGCTTAATAATACTACTATTACTAATAATATAGCTACGGAATACGCTAGGTAAGATATTATTACAAAAACTATGTACAAGTATGCCGAAGCGTAAAAGGGAGAACTGTCCGTGACGAATTGGGGAGAAGGGGGGTGGCGAAATATCCTAGTTCATAACCATCATTCCTACAGTTCCTATGGGAACCAATCGCATTATTTCGATTAACAATACAATGGCAATCATTTGAAACATGCATATAACGCATTTAGGATCAAAATCTAAGCAACTTCAAACATATGAAAATAACACCATTCGAATTCGTGCGGCACAATTAAAAAAAAATGATTTTTAACTCAAATCGGATCAAAAGTGCGCGCACTCAATTTTTAATTGTCTTTCGCCGACCACAGTACCAAAACTGGTAATGTTGGGCCGTTGGGGGCATTTTGAAAAATGAACTTTATCTTTAACCAACTACAAAAGTTGAATTAGAGGGTTGATATAGACAATCTTGGGAGATTAACTAATACATATCGCAAATAAAAATTTGCTCGACGTATTAGATGAAACCACACAAAGACCAATGGGTAATGGTTGTCTATTCTAGATTTTAAAAAAGTGGAGTGTTCGGTCTTATATCATATAAATCCAGGCTACAATGAACCTAAGCTAAGGTACTTGCTGCAACCCCAAGGTAGGCGCAGACGATTTTGACGTACCCATTATGCGAAAGTTGATATCCTTTTTGCCTTTATTCACCATTTTCATTGGGAAAACAACGTATTGCCTCAATATAGCAAAGAGAACGACGATTTTCTGGACTATGGGGGAACTATTGACATTTCGCACGCAAAATGCGCTTTGCCGAATGTGTGTAATAAAATATATTTGCGTTACATATACTTACTATATCTGGCAATAGCTGTGTGAATGAAGACAATCAAAATGGTGCCCACCGCCCACTTCGCAAAGTAAGCGTGTGCCATTCTACAAAATTTTTGTTTGAACTCACTACCACGTCACTCTTATACCGGTAATACAACAACAAGAAGTATTAAAACGCACTGCTTCATTTAGACTCGTGGTACATATTTTACAATCAAAGGTCGCTACCGATACTGATAAGAAATTGAAAGGAGCAGATCAAAGGTCAAGAGGTTGTATTTCATTCTTCTATTTCAAATTTTAAGATTCTCACATTGGGGTTTTCGGTTAACGAAGTACAACAATCTACACCACTTAGCTCAAAATGCAGGCCCCTTCATGTTGCTGCGGCGACAGTTATTTTTATCCCGGATATGGGGTTAATTGTCTAAATAAGCCGTGATCTAATTATCAGTTTGTGTATACATATTATGCTAAATTTACTAGAAATCCTTAGCTATTAGATTGATTATTTGATTTCTTAGTAACCTCTGACGCACGCCTGGTATAATGAGGCACCTATCGATTAAAACTTAAAAGATATTAATACAAGACATTTAAATAATCGGAGAGTTTCCAAAACTATTTTTGATATTGTATGTATAATTGCATTGCTTAGGGTGCGAATTTCTTTATTCCTCAAAGTGTATCCAGGTAAAAGATTTTAGGTGCTCAAGGAGTCATGGTGATCCCTTGTAGAACGCCGCTATTTGATTGGCAATAATTAAATAATTCAATGAAAGGAAGAACTTGAAGACAGGTATTTATTTTTATCGAGCTATTTGTATTGACAATTCAATCAATAATAAACAAATGTCACATCTTCCTTATGCATTTTTCAACATTCTGCCAAAGCATTTTTAGGTTCAACCACAAGGTTTAACTTCTTGACCAACTCGCTCTGTTTCAAACCTGCATTGACCAATACGAAGGGGGGTTCACTATTCGAATCCAGTGTATATTTTGACTGGAATATCCGATTGCTCCAATCTATTCGAATAACAGCTAGAAGTGCAGTCGGGTTACCTGTAGTATCTACGGTGCGTTCGAAATCGTTTACAGATCAAAATCAATCCCCTATCTCGGTAGTTGAAACTTTCATACTAATAAAAATAACCAGAGGACTCGGTAGAGCAATGAAAATTTTCGTAAGTGTTCGTGACTGAAAGTATCTATGGGTATTTGATCGAAAAAATGTTTTTTTAAAGCGGTCTGTCAGAAATAAGCAAAATTATGCAACTATATAGAGCATATAGCAAAGTCTGCTTTCTAAAATTCTAGAAAGTCGATGTCGAGTACATAGATCAAGTAGATTTGCAATTTCATAGATGTCAAACTAGAAAACAAAGACAGATAAAATTGCTCTCAAGACTAATATTGTATACACGGATTAAATCTCAATATACGTACGTAACTGTTATAAATAATAAGCATGGTCCTTCGAGTCGGTGCACTGTGTTACAAGTAATCTCGCGATTTTTGAAATTTCAGTTTCGAAAGTGATTTGTTGCAATTTGGATAGATCCTAATTTGCGTCCGTGGGACATGTTAGTTTGGTTTACTGGGTTGTCGAGGTGCTCCAAAAAAGGAGAAGCATTTTAATCGAAAGATTATAGCTGGAAGAGCTGCTAAAAGCTAGCAAGCCACCACAAAATATAGCATCAATTTTTTTACTCATACGAAGTCATTGAGAAAAATTTCAAAAGTGCTTTCTGAGGTGTTAACCAGCACTTTAAAATTTTACTGAAGAACGTGTCGAATATTCTCTATGGCACATACCTTTAATTTTTGTGTAGTTTGGCCTGCCTTGAACCGATTGAAAAATGTGATTTCTGAAAAAAGCTGTTAAGTGAGAAAAATCACGCTGCAAGCTACCAAAAAATGTACCAAAAGCTATGTTTTTTCCTTTAAAATGTATAGAAAATCGACTTGTCTTAAATGTATTGAAAAATGAAAATTTCTAAAATGTTATACCAGGAAGATTATAAAACCAGAAAAAATTACAGTTAGGTGCCAAAGAGAATATTGTAGTGAAAATTTAAAATTTTGAATAACGCTTCAGGCAGCCTTTCGGCGCTTTTGCAATTTTTCTTTGATATAGTATTGTACGAGTGAAAAAATTGATGCAAAAGATGTGGTTGATGTGAAAAATGGCACACTTTGTTCAAATGGTTGAATTAGTGACTATGGATTTGAACAGCCAACAACTTTCTATAATGATTAATGGAGTCGTATTTTAAACCTCAAAATAACAAAATAAGAAAGTTATAACCGTAACAGAAAAAACCAAACGATGTAGGAATAAGTCACCGAAAATTACTTTTCAAGACGTTTTCCGATGGAAATTAGTGTGTATTTAACGATTTTAACATCGTCTGGTCGGTAGCTTTCAGACTAAGCGATTCAGGAGTTCAACAATACGAATCCAAAGCTGAAAACCCGAAAGCTCTACGACATTCTGCTGCTGAGATCTCGAGCGATTTATAAAATTTATCCGAACGCCCGAAGCTCTTTTTTGCTAGCAAAAGTACGCTAAATAACTAAATACATTTGGGTTTTACAGAAATATGTTGTATTTCTAACAAAAGTACTTCCGTTTGGAAATTCTACGCCATTGCCCTCTTTTGCCGAATAATTACACTTTCACTGATATAATTTCAAGATCCCCTCCAATTCATTCCATTTTGTGCTTACTTTGGAAAACTAGCAATTAGAAATATTACTCCTATATACAAAGTAAGCAGAATCCAAATTGTTGGTAACGAAAAAAACCTTACATATCCTTCACCCTCTTTTGCTATTGATTGCGCGTCTACTAACTTGGTTGAAGTTCTGGGGGATGTCGCTACCCTTACAACTTATTCTAGTTTCAACTTACTGAGAAAAAGGAAATTTTCGTACACGTAGCAAATAGAGTGCCATAATTGTAATAGAAAATAACTCCATTTTCTAAAGTTTGACGGTTACCTTTGATTATAAATTACTTAGTCTACATACATCCCCTTTGCTACTTCCAAAAATTAAGCTCTGATTATAGTTGCTTCAATATCAGTGGGATGACGCCACTTTAATATCATACCAACGCGGGGGAGCTGCTTTACTTTAGCTAATGTGAGCGCCCTTATTACATCGCGCACTGTGGTTGTCTATCGCATGTAACATTGCGATCGAGGATTATTCCTAAGAACTTGAGGATTTACACTGTATGCGGTGACGATTTAAAAGTACTGGAGGGTTGCAATACGGTGCTCTCCTTAATTTGCAGAAATGCATCCCTTTCGACTATTGTGTATATACAGTTTGAAAAAAACGCGGACGCATTGCATTTTCCTATTTATTTCACCCACTGTTCTGGAGGCGTGGGATACGCCAATCAACCGGGCTATATCGCCTTCGAGTTCCGATTCCGATTTTTGTGTTCGGTTTTTTAATTGGGCGTAATACACCTGCTGTAAATGTTTATGTCCATATCGAGCATCCAACCGTGATACAATTTGTTCAAAATCCTTGTGTCCATTTTCCATTGATTTGTACCTGCAGCGGATTCAAACTGTCTCATGTAGGTGGACCATGGCGATTACCCATCGAATGTGGGTGGCTTAGAATTTTTTTCGTGCCCATTATTTACCCACGGTTCTGAGGTTTCTTTGCGGGATGATTGTGGAACAGCAAATAGTCCTTGGATTATAATAGAGGATACATCATTTTTTTCGCCGTAGATCTAGTTACTACTGGCATAAACTAACACTTGCACATTACACGACACTGGACACCAGTGTAAAGTTAATTTAATTACGTCGCTTATATAGCAAACGGCAATTGTTCTATAACGCTTTGAAATCTTCTAGAACACGTTAATTTTCCCGAAAGAATTGCGTTCGTTCTTTATCGCCGATGGGCGATGATTAATCTTTTGTGTCGCCACGATGTTCGCTACAATACAATTTTGAAATTCTAAAGTTGAAACGATCGTTTAGACCTACATCTTCATATTCACACCAAAAAGGTTGCAAGAAGGTGTTTCTAACTTCGTTTGAAATTCCCTTTTATAATTTTGTGCGCCCTTCAACCCCCAAAATTGAAAATAAACGTTCTTCAGATAAAATCATGAACGTTAGAGAATTTCCAAAAAATACAGGAATTCCGAAGGAGGTTTGTGCTGAACGGGTGAACTTCAAAGGAAATTTGGGGCCAAAATGTGCATCTAAAAAACATTCCCGATATTTGAGTAGTAACTGGGGGAATTTAATTTTTGAATCAGTTGATAATTTTCCCCATTTAGGTACTGGACAAAGCCATGCAATATCATTTATAATGGAAAAGTAACTTTTCAATAGATTTTTCAGTACATTACCCTAAAATGTAAAGGGCGTGTATTTTTGTATATGTGGTAACAGGAAAGTTTTGTTTAATATCATCATGTATTAACCATCTATTGAACTTTTTAATTATTGGGAACTGTAAGAAGGTTAAAGGGCTTCAGGTTTTCAAGTAAAATTAACCATAATATAATCTGTTGCGAGTCGTGAGGTAAAGTTATTGAACCGATTGAGCAAGGCGAATTCAAAAATTATACTTGAACCCTGAGCATAAATTGAATTCAGTTTTTTGTAACGAGGGGCCCGTCGCAGTACATACAATTTTTAGTGATTTCCCTACTTACTAAACAAATAATTCACGGAGACGGTCCCATGACGACCTGAGTCGACTATTATATATGAGATACCAATGCAAATTTTTTTTAAATTTGGTTCTAATAACCCCGTTTCAGTTCAAATCTTTTCAATTTTGTACCACTTCTTATTGTAGCAGGTGGTTGAAGCGTTGAAGCACATTGTCCAATAAAATTGTTCAGATCTTCATCAATTTCACAGTTCTGACGCACACCTACACATTTTCAGAAATTATTCCGCACATAATTTTCGACTGAACTCGTCGTGGGAAATCCTGTATTGTACTATATCGTTGAAAAGGACCCAGTTTAATTATAAAGTCACAACGGACTGTTTTTTCCAATAGTAAGAATACCAAACAATGTTTTTGCAAGACTGCAAATCTTTCTCCAATGAATCGTGTTTCTATCTCCGCCAGTTGTAGTGCTCACCAATCTTGTTCCTCCAATAAAACTCCCTCTGGATACGTAGTACTTGCCGTTTTAGCCATTATATTTTATTATTTAGTTAGATATTTTATTGTTTATTATTATTTTCGGTATTTGTGTGTGTTGGTTGCTTCCTTTCACAGTCTTTTTACTTATATATTTTATAAATATATTAAATGTGTAGGGTATCGTTGTTGGGCTTCTACAAAGAGCACTTTTTTCATATACAACATTTACAGATATTTTAAAAACATATTTATTTTAATTTTACACATACATCATACAAAACATATCGAATATAAAATAAATACAGCTGCAGTAAATACAACATATTTTCAGAGGCTAATAACAAAATGTGACACACCTAGATACAGTAATAAAAAAGAAATGCTTTTAAAATACCTGTTTCTCTCCATTGCAATATTACTTACGAATTAATAAGCGTTAAAAATACAGATCGAATTTAGTGGGTGGAAATACGTAAAAACAGTCTGCTGTCAATTGCCTTTACAATCTAGATACAAGTGCATCAGCTGGATTTTACAGAGGTTTAAAACGTCAATCGCTACTATTAAAATTGACAGCATAACACGTGTATTAGAACAATAAAAAAATATGCGCTTGTAACTTAGCGTAATTTATTAAGTATACCAGATTAAAAAAATTAAGTTTCACATCACAGTTATTTCTATAAAATAGTACAATTAATGACAGTGGCAAGTGTAGCAGATTTGTAACTAAAACAAAAAGGAACAGCAAAGTACACAATCTATATAGACTACATTCAGTTTTGCTATGGCCTTTTGGATACAATTTATCTAAGTAAATTAGAATATGTAACATGATACGATATCTATTTGAAGCACATTTTGGGCTACACGAACAATGCTCAAAGTTATATGAACAGTTCAAGCATTCTTTGGCCCCAAGGTCTGAATGATAACAAATATCACTAAAGGTGTATATAAACATTGATTGGTTTATAATTTATTACGGAAATATTCTATGGTATTGAATGGACACCCAGGTAATGACATTTGCACAAAAAAATAAAGTGGATACAATCAATACACATTTATACCTATTGTTCATTTTAAATATCTGCCTATGATAGCTACATTTAAGTTATGTAATGGAACTGCGTACTTTTAGGACGCCACTTTTTCAATACTCCTTAGTATTAAAATTTCTTAGATCACATTCATCAGGACTACAAAAGTATTTCGTAGTAAATTCGTCTCACTACGATATAAGAAAATTTCTCGAGTATATTAAAATACTTATCTATCACACCAGCCTTTACAAAGACTGAAAAATACGAAAAAACGTCTCTCTAACTAAAATATTTACAAAATGTCGCTTTCACACGCGTAAAGCCTTAGGGCGCACTCAACATTTCTTTATTAGTTTGACACAAATACACTAATTTACAGTATTTACAGATAAATATCGACGTTATGAAAATTAGTTTGGGGACAACCGTCCCTTCTTCTTGCTCACCGCCACCTCCAACACGCCACGCACGCTATCAGCAGTAGGAAGGCGGGCGACGCGGCGGACAGCCACACTCCGCTGTTGTACGTCAGCTCTTCATTCTTCACCACTTCGTTGGGGTGCTTGTCGTACTCATCTGAAATGAAACCAGCATATCACGTTTTCTTCAAACACTGAATTATTACAGTCTAAGATATTTCAAAAATGCTCAGATACGTCACTTTTCATCCCTTGCGCAATCCCTAAAATTTTAAATTGGATAGATAAGGCAAAAATACTATTACAAAATGCTATTTAATAGCAGGGCTCACAGCTCTAGAGAAGGAAGAAATTTCTGAGACAACTTTCGTGTAATCATGTCATGTCTCTTTTCATAAATTTACTTTAACAAATCGGTTCGTTTCTGGTGGTCAGACGACGATGGTTATCAAATGTTTGAATTTTGCAAGCCAAAATCTGTTAGAAGTCGAATTTTCCGTCGATTCGCGACAACTTTCCTTTCCTGCCAAATTTTTGAGAATTATGTGGATATCCAATATACATAAATCTGTTATTGAAGGGACATAAATACATGAACGTTTTGTAATGTTTGGATAGTGTTTTTGATCGCCTTGGTTACAAGGAAATTGAGTTGTCATTTTTTAATAGAGTTTGTGAAGTATTGTATTTCTGGGTCAGCTGAATACGCGTTCATTTGTATTTTTCTGAAATAATTGTCACCTTACACATTGAAGTCAATTATTGTTTTATCAAAAGGAAGATTTTGAATGAGAATGTAGGCAAAATTACAGAGCTGCAGGGCCTAAAATAATGTTGTTACGAATCATGCCGACAGTACCTACATAAAAAAAGAAATTTTAAAAAACATTCGAGAATACGTACTAATTTTCTTTGTTGGTTTCCTTGTTGGTTGAGTTTCTTGTTTGGTGATTATGTGAGTTGTTGATGATGTTGTTGAGTCTATAACTGGGAATATAGGCGGGATTAACGCTGTAGTGGACGTTGTTGATGCTTTGGTAGTAGAATTAATTAGTGCGGTGTCCTTTTGCTTGCAGCAAACTTTAAACACGATTTTCATATTGTGCGTTGAACATCGGCCGCCTATTCGCCTATGAAGATCGTCCTTTGAAGATGTTGCTGAAAAACAAGTGATACATCAATATATAATAAATCAGGGTGTGTAGCACTTAGGCCAGATATGTTTTACGAGGTGATTACTAGTAGAAATGCAAAAATTTTAAAAAGTTACATCTCACAAACCGCATTTTTGAAAATCATAAAGTAATATACTTACATATAAAATAATAGTCTTCTCCTGGAGTAAATTCCAATCCTCCAGGTTGTGGAGTAAATGGTCTGAAAGTGATGGTGAAGTACATTAACTTGTAGGGCTTATCACAGACGGCGATAATCCTAGGATTTGGATTCGTTATCCTACAGGTTTCATATTCTTCCCTAGATACGTTGTATACTATATACTTCTCTGCATCTTCGTCGTACGTGCCCGGCATGTATACAGGACAAATGATGTTCACTTGGTCATATTCGAATTTAACGTTTCCCTTATTTACGTCAATTATATGGTCCGTATTATCAATTCTAAATCTGAAACAAAAACCTTGCGTTAGTAAAAATCAACGAAGGTTATATAATCTAGTGATAGATGATATAATGATAGATAATAACTAACCCATCGCAATATACAGTGTGTCCCAGATCGAGTGGGATTGCATGGGTAACTTTCTTCATTCATTCAAAGATAGAGAATTGGTTAAATGAACAATGTTTTGCAGTTTTAGATGCTTATTTAAAATTTCCTTGTGGAAATTCAAAATGAGGAATTAGGTTCGACGTAAATTCAAAGAAACTAAAATTGATCATTTCCTTTAATGTCTTATATCATCGAAAGTTTAAGAGATATAAAAAAAAGTTTTATATAAAAGTTACTGCCTCTGATACGCCTAATTTAGAACTGATGTCAAAATAAAATTCAAGATGGCTACCTTTGAGGAACATTTACCAACTTCCTAAAGTTAAATAGGCGCCATATCGGATTTTTTGATTATTTGATAGATTTTTTAATTCTCTTTTCAACGAGCTATCATAGCATAAAATTGAAAATAAGATACCGGTTTTTATATTTTAATCAAGTAGGCTATGATGAATTTTAAAAAAACAAAATAAAATCTATTCGAGGCAACACAACAATGAAAATAATTATATCACATGTTTAAAATACTGGCCATTATCAGTGAAATACACTTCAAGACAGTTTACTTTAGGAAACATGTTGCCACTGATGCTATAACGGGATCCGGAAGGTTCGCCCCCAACGTTTCGCCCCTCACATTTCGCCCCTCGCATTTCGCCCCTCACATTTCGCCCCCAGGTGCATTTCGCCCCCGGTACTTTCGCCCCTGCAACTTTCGCCCCTCGGAAGTTTCTCCTCCACACATTTCACCCCCGGATGTTTCGCCCCCCAAATCTCAATATCTAAGTTCATATTAGGTTGGTTATGGGTATGAAGGTAAGAAAGCATAATCCATGATCATTCCCCGAGATATGTAAAACCAATAGAAATGATACGTTATAAACTTAAAGTTAAGCGTTTTATCCGTTTAAAATTTCGTGGAAGAGTATGGTAAACATACTTTTATTTATCACTTTATATATTATATTTATTATTTTATACTTTTAAGGAGTTATCCGCATGTTGGAATTGCATCCTGAAATAATATTTCCAAACCTTGATTAATTATCTATGTGAGGTAAACGGCCAGTTGGAACTATTTTTAGTAAGCTGAAGGGTCACAATAATAGAAGAAAAGCATTGCCATTAAACAGGTACCTACCCACCTAGAGGTGATTACAATAACAAAATGACCTGTAGGATTAAAAGATCTTGTTTGTGTAAACAGGTACCTAGGTAATATTCATTATTGATGGCTACGAAGATGGGTATTCTGCATTGCAAAGAATCTGCTTTGCCAGTTCAAATCAGTTAGTTAACGGTGAAGTTCTGCTAGTGCCTCCGTTTAAATATGAATTCAGTTATTTCTAAGCGTGGGAAACAGAAGTTAGTTTACGAAAACCATCTCTATTTATTTTCTAAAAAGACGAGGGACAACATTAATGCAATTTGGGTTTGCGAAAAGCGGTCAACATGCAAAGGACGCGTATGGACTGAAGGAATGAATGGTGAAGTCATCAAAGTGGTGAATCTTCATAATCATGCAGCGCAGGCTGCAAGACCCGAAGCAGTCCGACTAGTCAATGAAGTGTGCACCAGAGCAAGGACGACCCAGGAGACGCCACAACAAATACTCGCTGAGGTCGTTTCAGAGGCCCACGCCAACGTTGCTGCACTATTACCTAGGAAAGATTCCTTGAAGAGGTCCATTCGTGCGATGAGAAAAGTTGGTAACATGCCAAGACTACCTCAAACCATTGACCAACTAAACATTCCACAGGAGTTTCGGGAGATCAATATTGACGGCACTTTGCATCAATTTCTTCTGTGGGACTCGGGTAAGTTCTCTTTCAATTTTTATAAAAAAATATGTTTTGGCTAAATACCTAATATGGCTCTGTTTCCTGAAATATCCGATATAGTGTACCTCAAAAAAATAAGGGATGGAAAAAACTCGTGGGTTATTCTGTATCCTTACGCGGTTTTAGTTTTCTTTTTGCACAAATATCTCGAGAACAAAGCATCAAACAGTTCTGAATTAACCTATATATACAGGGTGTTTTAGCCCACCTGTGCCAGCTTCGATATAGTACACGGAAGGAATATTAATAACTAAAAGCTATATGGAGAAACTAATTTTGAAATTTTCGGTTTCCGGAAGTTAACGGAAATAGCCATAGTCGACTTTGTAATTTTATATGGTAAGGGAGGTCAATTGGGTTGTCGCTAAAAAGGTGTTTTTAAAATAAACAACTTTTGCTTGAAACGTTTTCGTGTATTTTTTTATCGCTTATGAACAATATACCTTTAAAGATTTTCGAAATGTCTTCCTGACTTAAAATGAAGCATGACCTACAAGAAATTCTTTTGTTCATGGGCACATTACCTACCGGAGAACGTCGGTCAGACGCGTTAAACTTGCAAATGTTCATAAACGATAAAAAATATACGAAAACGTTTCAAGCAAAAGTTGTTTCTTTTAAAAAGATCTTTCTAAGGACACTCCACTTGATCCCCCTTTCCATTTTAAATTACAAAGTTGGCACCGGAAAGGGCTGTTTCCGGCAACTTCCGGAAACCGGAAGTATCAAAATTGGTTTCTCCATGTTTGATGAGGAATTTCCAAACATCGAAAAGACGGGCTGCTTCTTCCACCTATCACAGTCTGTTTGGCGAAAAGTTCAAAATGAAGGACTAAAAGCGCGCTATCAGAATGACCACGAATTTTCCCGTTGGATTCGAATGATACCCTCTCTTGCTTTTCTTCCCCCTGACAGGGTTACACAATCATTTGAAGATCTCTTGGACGATCCGGACTTTCCTCAGGAAGCACTACCCATTGCCAACTATTTCGAGGACACTTACATTGGTCGAATTAACCGAAGAGGACGCCAGGCCCCCTTGTTTCCAATTCAATTTTGGAACGTTTATCAACGGACACTGAATGGTCAACATCGCACCAACAATGACGTCGAGGGTTGGCACCGTAGCTTTCAAGAGACCTGTGGTTCACTTTTTCCTAACATCTACCGCTTCATTAACTGCCTGAAACGACAGCAAGGTCTCCACAACTTTGAAATGGTGCAAGTCTTGGCCGGAAATGCCCCCACTGCGCGAAACAAGAAATATGCGGTTATTTCAGCAAGGGTACTGCGTATTGTGGAGGACTTAGGCAATCGAAATTTGATAGATTACCTCAGGGGTATAGCGTACAATTTTGAATTTTAATCACCATCCGTGGATGTCTTGCACAGGTCCATATTCAATCTTATTGTATTATGTTCTTAATTATACATTATTAACGTTATTCATTGTATCATTCACAAACTTATTCAATCCTACCTAACATCCTAACATTGTGTTTCTTTTGATTTACTTAGGTACCTACATCATGCTTAAAAAATAAAAATAAATGTGCAACATTCTTGACAGAACAGCTTCCTAACTCCAAAAATCGCGGTTCGTGCTAAATTATATTTATTTCGCATTATTGCTAGTCAGCAATACTTATTCCAGGAACTTACATTATATTTCTGTTGACTCTTTTTATAGAAGGGTCGTTTTCTGCCCGATTTAGGGGTATCTATAGGCATTCCGTGACGTCACCACATGTCTAATTTTGCCGAAAACGAATTTTTGAAATTTGACATTTTTTTCTCAGTTTTTTTTTGTAATAAAACCTAGCACAATTTTTATAGGGTTTACACAGAAAAATAGATCTTTCGAATAACTTAATAAAAATTTTAGGTTTCTATTTTCTATGTTCAATGCCGTTGTGGCGCTCCAACATTTTTTTTCGAAAATCCGGCTCGTAATTTTTCGTTTCCGTATGCCTAATATACGCTACATATCCAAAATTTGAACAAAATCTGTCGAAAATCGCCAACGTATGTACATACTTAGATACAACACACGGAAAAAATTTTATTCTTTAAAAGTTGCTTAAAATGATTTAAAACGTCTACATTTGGTAAAATTTTTACATGTCCAAAAAATGGCGATCGCAATAGCCACCTAACTCGAGCCAGGAAGCTAAAAAAGTTCGATTAAAATTACGATTTTTAAATTTATTATGAGCAAGTAACAAGTAGGGGCGAAACATTCGGAGGCTAAATGCGTGGGGGCGAAATTTCCCGGGGGCCAACTGTGCGGGGGCAAAACTGATGGGGGCGAATCATACCCGGGGGCGAAATACTGGGGGCGAAATGTGAGGGGCAAAATGTTGGGGGCGAATTGTTGGGAGCGAAACTTCCGTAAACCCCAAGTTCCTGGGAATTTTTTTATATTTTTATTGTTCTTGACTTTTATTGACCTAAACAAGCATTGCGACTATCCAATTATATCTAGCTCATGGTACCATTCATTACAGTCGCTGATGGTACTAGTAACTTTACTACTGGAACTGTAAAAATCTACTTGTTGATTTGTACACAGTACATTACATTGCTGGTTGTCATGAATATAATATCAAAAAAAAACCAATAAAACGCTAGTTTATACCAGATATTTTCCATCAATCCTTAGGAAATGTATGTGGGGCAGTTTGTTCTAATAATATTGTAATTTTATTGCTAATGAAATCCTTTATTAGTATATTAGATACACTTTGATTGACTCGTCGAATCACTGATCTCATTGTTATTAAATTGAGATTACATAACTCAATTATTATTAACCACAGTTTCTGAAGCACTAGTTTCACTAAATTACCACATACTCGCTCCAAGATTATGGCGGTTGAATACATTTATTTTACCTTAGCTACCTATATGAAAGTAAGGAGCATTGATTTGTGAAAAAGTGTACATGTAAATTTAATTGATCAGATAAATTGCGTCAAAAGTAAATCTTGAAATTCATTAACCGCTAATCCTTTTAAACAACTTGTTACCGTGCAAATCTTAAAGTTGACCTTTTCAATGTCGATTAAGTAATTTTACGTCGGATTCCTGTGAAGTCAACGATGTTAATATAATTAACGTTAAATATAGGACAGTTATTATGGATTGAGAACGTTTTTTGCCATTAAATGTAATGGGTGATTTGCTTAAAGCGAAATCATGCGAGGTTTCCGATTTATTAGTTATTAAACAATGTTAACCACCTACTCGTATCTGACGAATGTGATTCCAATTTTGCCGAAAAAATGATGAACATTTGCGGTTACGTGTATGCAATGCAAGGCAAGTTCTTACCTTGACGCTTAATCAAAGCATGAAGGGCAGACTTAATATAGCACAATGCTCAAAACGACTTCTACAATCCCTTCAGTTCTTCGTTCAGTTTTTCATTTTCTTTACAATCGCCCAACTTCTTCGGACTCTTCTTTCACTTCTAGATTCTCAATTTCCTGTAATTCTCTCCAATTTCTTCAAGTTTTTCACATTCTTCCGTTCTCTCAGGTACCTACTACAGAACCTTCAGAATCTTAAATTGTTCTTCTTTTAGTTCATTCAGATTATTCGAATTGTGCACTGCAAATCAATCTGATCCGTTAGGCCTTTGGAGCCGAGTACTTTAATTTCCGAATCAAGAAATCATCGAACTCTGATGATTTCGTACTATAACTGAATGTGTTTTTATTCAATTCATTCAATGTTATAACAAACTCGAAAAAACTTCCTCCAATCAACGAAACGTAACAACACGACATCCAATCAAAAGTCTGTTTCTTGACGCTCTTTACGTCACGTATCAAAATTTTACGCGGATTTAACTTCAAGTTTTTTCCCGATAAAATGCATTCTTATGGCTAATAAATTACATCAACCTGTTAAGAAAAGTAATAAAAGTGCCCATAAACCACAACAGAACTGTCACTTAAATGATTTAACAAAGCAAACTTGACAACAAAATAAACATTAAACAATTCTAAGAAATAATCTTTTGCATGAAAAAATTAACCACTTGGATACAACTAGAAACGCAATACTCGCTTTGTGTTTAAACGTAAAACCTAACCGGACTAATTAAATAATTTGACTAACGATTAATTCAGGTGTCTGGGATCCAAACCTAAACTTCCACATCGAAATTGTGTACATAGCATTATATAAAAATTCATATTGTATCGTTAACGTGCTAATTTATCATGTAATATTATACTAGGTCGATGACGCTCAGTTATTTTTATCGTGCTATAGTGAGTAAGACGATCTGTATTAAGTTGAATAAGTGCACGAACATGTAGCTTCGAGGTTTGACTCGCAGAAAGTGAGCTTAAACACGCTTCATGTGTGAAGATCGCATGTATTTTGTAGCAGGGTACAATTGTTGTAAGCATCAGCTGGATTTTCTACCATCTGTTGTGCAAGTTGGAAAAACACTTATGAGGCCAAAGACTTACTTCTGATGATAACCTGCAAGTTGCAGTTAGTTAAAATCGCCAAAAGAACTTCGGAACTTATTGTGATCAAATCAGGGAGAATTGCTGGTCGTTTCCGGAAGCTTTCACGGTGTGCGAATTAACAGAATTGATCATCACTCGACTTATAGGTCGACACAAGTAGGTTAAAGGGCACTAGAAATATAACACCTAAATGAATATACTGACAATTAGATTTAAACTAATCATACGTCAATTAAGTTTGACAAGTTTAATTATTTGCTCAGCAGAGATTTAAATATAGAACTTTTCCTTATGAAGGAACACAAATTAACGATGCATATAAATGTCATATGTAGAGTATATGAAATATTGTAGATTTCATTTTAGATTTGAGCCCACTAATGCGCGCAATCGATTTAGTTCATTTCAGAGGGACGCGCGACAGGATAATGTATGCTAATGGATGGCACAGTTAAATTATTAATAGCCAAAGAAGGAACGGCTGATAAAT